GTGAAAATGGAAGTCCAAGTAAACCTTGTACAAGGTCAATGGGTTTTTGGAGATGTGATGGGGCTAACTTCTTGGCTGCTTCAATAATTCTGCTATCAATTGGTTGAAATCTCACTTTGCTATCTGAAACTAATAAATGCGCGATTTTGAGACGCACTTTATGAGATAGTGCTTTTAACGAGCTCTCCTCCTTCTCTTCTTCCCTGGGATTCCATTCAGGTGACTGCTTGAGAGTGACCAAATGGTAGAGAAGATCCAACAAATGGGAATGCTTTATGATCCTGTAGAGAGGATAATTCTCCACTGTTTTTAATGGTGAGACGAATTCACAAAAACCCAACAAGATTCTTGGTAAAAGATCACTTACAATCTCCCTCTGGCCTGAGTATTCTTCTTTCCAGCATTCTATGAACAAGATAAATTTCAAAACAAATATAGGAATTTGGTTCTCTAGCATCATGGCTACTTGAATGGTTGTTTCTTGAGCCAATCTCCTCTGCGAAATTTTAACCAAGTGGCGCAAAGAGCTTGAACTGGCCAGAACTTCCTTGTTGTTTCCATAGCTGCAGAGCAAATTAAGCAGAAACAAGCCATCAACAGCCACTACACATGCCAAAACATCTTCCATATCTAAAAAGACATTATAAGAAGCGCGAACAGATGGGACCGCTATCTCCTTAAGAACTTCAATGACTTGTCAAACTCAAGGCCGCTTGGGAATCCATGGTGAATCCTTATGGCCTCCATAACCTTGTACATCTGCATGTATTGAAGCTTGGGCCTCAAGTGATGGATAGGTCCTAAGCCTATTAGCTGAGGGACATAAGCTTCTGGTTTCGCGGAAGTTAAGAGAGTCGCAGACTTTGAAGACGCTAATAGGAACGTCTATGTCTTTTTCCTTGGAGATTGTGATGATTGTGTTGACAAAGTTGTTGCTTGTTCTGGCCGTACTATTGGCCGCACTGTTGTTTCTCCCAGTTTGGTCTGAGAGTTAAACATTAGGAGACATTAATGGATGTTAGTGCCTTAGTTGTTCTTTTGCAAGAAAAAGTTAGAAACTCAAATTATAATTTTATTTAAGTTAACGTTCTTTTAAATTTTAACTTTATTCAACTTTACTCAACTTTATTCAAATTACAACTTCAAAATAAGTTATAACTCAAATTCAACTCAAAAATTATACTCAAGTCACACTCTAAAAGAACAGGCCTACATTTAGGAACTGGCTTTATTGATAGAGAATGACATGGAAAGGAAGAAAGGAAAATTGAAAACGTTATCAGCATCATCTGCATCTGTTGAATTTCTGAGCGCAAAGTGGGATAGTGCCTTAATTATGCTTAATTTGGATATAATAAGCTTCTCTAGTGTGTCATAACTTCCAAAAGACGGACAAATTGTTGAGGTAAGTACTAGTTAAGAAACCAAGAATGTAAACATGGGATTGTAACAAGCAACATAGAATAGAGGTAAATTAGTTAAATAAATATGTTTAAATAAGATACGACATTGTCTTAATTCATATAATAACATATAAAAGAAGCAATATATCTATATACATCACAATACCAGTTAGTTTTTGAGACGCAGGATATGATTGAAAACTTGGAGAAACCTTATTAGGATTCATGTCAGAAGAGAAGAGCTGATCATGATCAGTGTACAACTCTCTCGATCTAAACTACAATTTGATACTTGAAAAGAAAAATAATTTATAAATTTCTCTCCTTCAGATAATAAATATATATATAAAAAAAAAAAAAAAAAAACAACCATGACAATAATACCCAAGTCTCCGATGAATCCTTCAATATCATCGAAACGCCTGTTCAATAAATCTGAAATAGCAATGAAATACTTCGTCAAAAAAATAAAAAATAAAATAAAAAGAAAGAAAGAAAAGCAATACAAAAAGCTCTTACTCACATAGTAAACATAAAAGAGAGGCAAATTAAATACAAAACTAAATTACCTAGTAATTTTTGGAATGCTGAAGAACTATCAAGGGGATCCGTTTTTACTCTCGCTGGTTCACTGGAATCCATTTTAGAAGAGCTCACACCCCCACACCCCAAAAAAAAAAAAAAAAAAAAAAAAAAAAAAAAAAAAAGAAGTTAGAGATAAACTAGTTTGCTAACTTGCTCTCAACTAGAACAAATTATGTGAGATGTGTGCTCTTTATCTCAATGACTCCCTCGCGTGTCTTTTACAAAGGGAAGTGGTTTCTATTCATAGAGGTTACAGTGAATGAAACATACTGTTTTGCAAATGCCAATTTATTATTAAGGACTGTCATAACCGGTGCTTCATGAATTTTAAAATCATTCATATTGGTCTATGAATTTTCAATTATTTTCAATACCTAACCCTTTTTGTTTAATTTATATTAAAAATAAAAAGAAAAAAAGAGAATGATACAATTACGTGATCTTTTTATTTGAATTTCGGTTAAAATTAAATAGATAAAAACCACATGGCCGCACTCTATTCCCTATTTTAATAGAAATTCTTACAAAAGAACTTAAATATGACAAATTCAAAATTCAAAAGGTAAAGTGAGAATAATTCTAAAATTTAGGAGCACCAATAAAATTATGTATCAATAAATAAAGAAAGTAGTTCTGAGCATAAAAAAAGAGAATTACAAAATTTATCTTTAAGAGTGCATAAGTCTAGATTTTTATCCTTTATTCTTAATAAATACCCTTTTATTAGTGTAATTTTTAACGAAAAAGATTATAAATTAAGAGTAAAAAATAAAAATATTAATTTATACATTTTTAAGTGATATTTATCAAGATTACTAAAAAAAAATAAAGAAAGTAGTTATATTCTTGAAGACTTTTTATATTTCCGGTTGGGGGTGGAAGATATTCTTTCCAACCTCACCTAATTTGACCTTATAGTGCCAAATGAATTAATTAGGCTTTTGTCCTTTGTAAAAAATAAAAAAAGGGGCTCGTGGTCTTCACATATTACTGTGTTAAAAGCACTTAAAAATTTTATTATAAATTCATTTATACAATTATTAAAGATTTTTAAATTTATTTTTTTTAAAAATATGTGTAAATATAACAATTGACCAAAAAAAAAAAAAGTAGAGACACATTTAAAAAAAATTATTTTAATCAATAAAAAATAAAATAAGAACAAATGTGAAAAAAATTACTCTTATGATAATAAAGTGATGAATAATATATTTTAAAGAAACATATAAAAAAAATTAAAATGTAAAATTAAAAAGAAAAAAAAATAAATGAAGAGGTTATTACGTAACAGCGCTTTATAGAAAGAGTTTTAATTCGTTTATGTATTATTAGATAAAGGAGCTTGGTTTCGTCAAAAGGACCATTAAATCCAACTTTCCATGAGGACCAATCGGTCTGATACATGTGCTAAGGCCCGTCGTTTAGAATTATTTCTTATAAGATTATGAATCTGTATCAATGTAATAAATTTGTTTTGTCTATATCTTTAATCTATATTTTGAAAGTTGTTTCATTATCCCTTTAAATGGTGATGCGGCTGTTATTTTTACTTTTATTTATTTATTTTTATTTTTATTGTCTTTTGGCTTTGCCAAACTCAAGATGATAATATTTTAATTGTCATGCCTTTATTATAAGGGGAACAACTCGTATTGTCATAGATTTTTGTGAGTGATTTCCAATTTTGTATCAACTATAAATTATAATAAGTTGGTGAATAACGCCACTTGCTGTTAAATTATTGGTGGCATAAGTAACTAGGCCCTACATACAATTTACAAATGTGGCATGCCGTCCTTCCAACTTCAATAATTTTATTTCGTCTTTCTTCTGTATAAGATACAATTTATTTATGACATGAAATTTTACTATTGAAAAGCGTTTGTCACTAATTTATTAAGAATTTTAAGGTGTGTTTTTTCCACCACCCAAATTACAACTTAAATTTTTTTATGTGAAAAAAATATTATAATGAAAAAGTAAAATTTAAATTTTTATAAAAAAGAACATTATAGTAAAAAAAAAAAATAATAAGTAGTGAAAGTTATTATAATAAAAATGTAAAATTTAAATTTTTATGAGAAATAACACTATAATAAAAAAATTTAAATAATAATTTGAGCTATAAAAGAACAAGACTTTAAAATGTTTAAAATATTGGATAACATGCCCTATTTAGTTCAAAAATTAAGTAGTAAATTTATATTGGTAACAGACAGTTTAAAATTTCGAGATTTTGAGATTTGTTTAAAATATTCAAGCCCTAATTAGTTCAAAAATGTTTAAAATATTCAGGCCCTATAATTCTAATTTTATTATAATATTTTTTATCTCACAAAAATTTAAATTTAAAAATTTATTCTCTCACAATTTTTCCGACAATAAATCACTGACTTGTATGTTCCCGACTGACTTGAATACGTCCCTTAATAGTGAAGTTAATCTTTTATTTTCTCTTTTGTTTACCTTTCTATTATTTGTTGGTGCAATTATTAAGGCATCATCCGAGTTTTCAATTCTAATTTTGTGATAATTAAAAGCTATCAGAAACAGTCATATTTAATTTTTTTACTACAGTTAAAAGTTTTCACATAAAATCATAGCTCAACTCGAATCGACGAAACTGGCTGAACAAGGCTTAAATGTGCCCAATTTCCCCTTCATGTATATTGTATGGTTACCCGATGCTATGGAAGAGCCTAACACTATTACCAACTTGCATGTGTGGACAGGAAATTTTCGAGGGATTCTAGGGAAAATAACAGAGATCTAGTAGTACTCCTCTGCTCACCGACTTTTTCTTATCTGAGTTGAATTGTGATTCTTTTATTTATATAAACAAAAAATTTTACTACCCAACTAACTTATTAGGATGCAGTGGTCGATATTCATCAACCCATGAAAGCAAATGCTAATTATAATATTGGTCAGTTCTGCTGAGATTTTCAACTGATCCAACAAAACTTCTTCGAACACTAACCAAGTTACACAACCCCCAATGAAAGATCAAACTCATAAACAAACTGATTCTTCCGAGTCCCCAACATGTTCTTCAACAGCTGCAGCACTAGTTTCTTCTCTGGTGATTGTAAAAGTTGAGGCAGAAGACCCAACAACTTCTGCTTCCGTATAGATTGCCTTTCTCTTGCTTCTTCTCAGCCTCCATTTTCTTAACATCTCCGAAACGTCTTCGGGCTCTTCATGAACATCGTCTACTCCGATCTGGGGTTGTTCTTTATGCGTTTCATCAGTCGCCAAAGTTGTTTCTTCTTCTCTCTCACCGCGCTCACTCAAACTCAATATTGACAATGGGAAGAAGATTGGATTACACCAGTTAAAAAGAGCGATCAGTAGAACAATGTACGTGTAAAGAGTTGACCAAACATAGAATGTCCATTTCCAACTTCTGACCAACTCTTTTGTCCATGGCAGCTTTGATTTCATCACAATTTCGGCTTCATACAACTGTGGGAGATGTGTGGTTCCAGCTCTTGGACTCAAAGTCACTCTTATGGCCTCAGTTCTTGGATACCCTTCCTTGTGCCTTAGTACTTCAAAAGTTATCTTTTGGGTTTCACCAGTGATTCCTAGTAGTAACGGGATGCTCATAAGAAATGTTCTTGCAAGTCTAACGGGAAGACTTCTGAACCTTAACATGCAAGGCAAACTTGATTTTCCTATCACTAGACCATTGGTTGATAAGAGCTCTGCACTCAACTGATTAAAAAAAATGAAGTAACTAATAACACTAATTATGTAAAATACCTTCTTTTAGTTTCTTTTTCATAGTAATTTACACAAAACTTTCAAAATTGGACTTTGAAGGAATGGAAGTGAAGTAAGCGGTGCTCATTTGACTAAGGTATATTAGAACTTTGACAAGAACAGGAAATATATAATGCTCTAGAATCAGTAATGGATTTTTTCCTGTTATACTCCCCTAAAGTTTTACACTTCACTTTATGTACTCCCTAAATTTTGTAGTAATCCGTCTCTTTTCTAGAAAGTGCACTAAAGTCAAATTTCATATCTGATTCTTGGAAATGATCAGAGAACATAGATTACACCCGTTTGACCATACAATATATATATATATATAAACAAAATGACAAATAGTTTCTAGACATACCTGAAAGACCCCAATGTCTCTATTGAAATCAGATTCAGGCATCAAAAGGACCACAGAAACAGAAAATGTATGACCAACAGGAACTCCAATCTGCTTCCTCTTGTGACTTCTTTCAAATACAAAGAGAGCTTTAGGATGAGCCTCAGTGTAATCAAAATGCAACTTTTCCTTCAAAAGCACGGGCTCCTCCACCCACATTTGGACCAACGCAACACCCAAAACGACAGCTACTACCAAAACGACAAGCAAAACCATGCAGACGTAGGCAGCCCCAAAGACCCCAAATCCCAGTTTCTTAAGCAGCACAATGCTTCCGTGGGTGACCGTGGAGGGAACTTTCTTGACGGCAGATTCGACGGTGACGGTGGTCTCCTCCGCTCGGTGGTAAGACTCGGAAACGACTGACATGAGGAAGAAGATGGGAGAGAAGAGAAACGACAGTGAGTTGTAGATCAAGTCTGCCTGGAGAAGCACTAGCTTTGTGAACCAGTCTGATTTGGGCATTACATCGTAGGTTTCTACTTCTTCTTCTTCCATTAGTGCTTGTGGTTGTTGTAAGCATGACGATGAGTTTTATGAGATGTGAGAGAGAGAGATTCACCACCTGTATTGTGCATGAAAGTAAAAAACGACACGTAGTAGCAAAAGCAAAGTAAGGACGTGACAAGTGTTGATACATCGGTCAGACATTTATCGTTTTATTTGTAAGAGCTTTTTTCCGTACCCTAACCGACAGGTTAAATTTTTTTTTTTTAATTAAAGTCACATGAAATTACGTAAAAATTAAAAAATATAAATTTAATAATTAAAAAAACTTAATTTATTAATACGTCTAAGTCTATTAGAAAATCTCTCACATTTATATTCACAAAAAGTTTTGTACTACTTTATCGAGTTCGAGTTACATAATCAAATTTTGTCCAATAAAAGAAAAAAAAAAAGATATCAAATTTTCTAGCACATTGAAAAGAGCTTGACGGGATGGTAAGTCTATTTTTTCCCGATGCAGAAGTTATGATATTCGAGCTAAAACCGTCGATGTGGTTGTCAATTCATATATATATTGTAGAAAATAATAGTCCAATTTTAATCTTAATTATTTTATATCAATTTATGTTTTCTCACTTTTTTTAATGATAAATGTAGTTATTTATTATTAATAATATGTGATAATTTTTTTAAATAAATTACTAATAAAATAATAATAATTCACATGATACGTTAATAAATAAATAAGATAAGATTAATATTGATATTTCTAATATTGTACGTATCGTATCTCATAAAATTGTTTTTTCTTTAAGAAAATTTGAATTTCTTCAAAACAGTATCCCAATGTCTATATAGAAGAATCCAATAAGAAAAATCCTAGCATAGAAAGAAATACGAAAAATCCAATATAGGATCATGTCATGGTTAAAATATGAGCCTATAAAATTACTCCGATAAATTAGAGCCATGCATCATATAAACTATTCATAATATATAACTTAGGACCTTAAAGTTTTAATTTTGATAATACTTAACAATATAATATGATTCAATGAATAATCAACGTCAATTAATAGATAACAATAAAGATTTAAAATGCATTCCAACATGTCACTCAACTAAAAGTTAGATGTGCATCTGTATAAAAATATGGAGACATTTACATTCATTAATATGTCATTAGTTGTTAGATACAATAATTACGACGGATTTTTAAATTTAGAGTATGATTTGTTAAAATTAAAAACTTGAAAACCAACATTTATCAAATGCGATAAGTATATATAATGCACGAGTGCACAATTAACCAAATTACTCAGACCAACTCCCCAATGTGTTATATTATTTTTAAGCGTCTCTTGGAATAAATTCCCACGCCCTTGAAGAATGGAAACTCCAAGAGTGAAAGATCATTTTTTTTTTTTTATATAACAAGCACGTGATAATTATATATTTTTCTTTTTTTATTTATTAATTTATCTCTGTAAACTCTCCTATTCTCTGGCCAGTTTAGTCTACTGATTTGAGTTTTTAATTTGAGTTGAGATGTGATTTTATGTGAGCGCTTTTTACTCTAGCAAAAAAAGTTAGATGTGACTGTTTTTGAGAACTTTTTACTGTAGTAAAACTCAAATCAGTGAAATAAACAGGGCCGCGAACCCAACACTATGGATTTGAACTGAATTAATGTTTTCGTGAACCATAGGAGGAATAAGGTAACTTAGCATATGGATATATACGTTTACATAATGACGTCGATGATTTATGTGATGATGATTGTTATGATAATGTGGTTATGGTTTTAGTTTGTGTGGGTGCTATTGCTAGAAAAGTGCTTAAAGGTACACATCTCTTAAGTTGTTGAAATCTGTTAACTTCAATACCGGCTCAAGAGTAAAGCGATTAACGCAAGGCCAACCTTAAATTAAGGTAACTCAAAACCCCTTATTATTAGGATCATGACTAAATAAATATCTTTTACACTTACAACATTAATTTGTTAGAAAACCCACCTCCCTCTTTTTATTGACGAGTTGTTTAAACCCCTTAACTAATCACCTTAATATCTCAAAATGTTGCACATGTTAATGATGGTTTTATTTCTATAAGAAATCTTTTGTTTAGGTTCTTAATTTAATTCCGTAAAACTCATAAAACAAGAATTAGTATTAAAAGATGTTTATTTAGCAGTATTATTCTCAACATTTACTCTTTTTGTTTCTTCTAAGAAGAGAATATTTATATTTTCAAATGTTAATACTTACTTTTTAGTCTCACAGTTCAATGATTTTCTTTTATTATATTTGTTCTTAATCATACTCTCTAAGAAAAAGTTATTTCGAAGAGTTTGAAAAATAGAAAGAATAATATATCATTAATTAGTTATTTGTACTTAAATTAGTCTAGTTATTTTTCTCTTTTATATTACGTTACATAAATATATTTATGGCTGTCATTCTTAATAAGAACCCAACTAATTGAGTACCACATTGTATAGAAAAAAAAAATGAGTGAAAATTGTTTTTTAAAAGATATTATGCAAATGCAAACTTAAAATATTCATTTAAAATTTGCCTAAAAATCCTAATTGTCTAAAGTCTATTTGTAAATTACACAAACAAAAATGATGTCAGCTATATTAAGCACTCAAGACTTTCAGGCCACGTAGTTCTCTAGCTGTAGAGGTTTTCAAGTAGTCCACAGAGATTTTTCAGGACTGTAAATCTATAAATAAAAAATCCCATCCAAGAAAAATCTTATGAAAATAAAAAATCCCATCCAAGAAAAATCTTATGAAAATAAAAAATACAAAAACCTAAATTTAATTGACATGAGAACCACATGTGTGTTTCTGCTAGCGATTCTTACGGTGAGAAGAACAAATAATTAAGCCCAATGTATATTTAGTTATTTTTTCTTATTTTTTATTTTTAAAATTTACATTATTTAGTCTTAAGTTTTCCTCACATGCGAGCAAAACTGCTTACCATAAACAAAAATTTATCCTAATTAAGAACTTTCTATTTAAAAAAATAACAATTTTCTTTTATGGCATCGAAATAAAAAAAGAAAGAAAATTAGTATGTCCCACGTCAATGTTAGTGAGAACATTAAACAAAATATTTATTAATTTTTATTTAAATAGAAAATAGATAGGAAGACCAAAAAGCAACACTCTTCTTTGTCCAGCTAGAAAGGCACCTGTGTCTCGTCTCTTTCGCCTTCTCTCTGTCTTCGAAGCTTCGACTCCATCAATGGAGTCGAGCTGAAACTAGGTTTCAATTCCCAAAAATCCTTCTTCTTCTTTCAAATGCCTTGATCGAAGACCGACCACGACGTCGCGCTTCGAGTCCCAGTCTTGTCGCTTTGACGCCGAGGCACGCAAATGGGAGAAGGACAAGACTGGACTTCCGAAGATCGGAAAATCTTAATTCCGACCTTGGGGGAGGAGGCGTTGGGGCTGATGACGGCGTCCAATTGCGGCGGAGCCGCCACCAGTATTGCGGAGCGGAGGGCGGCCAAGTTTGGGTTCAATGCGGTGAAGATCAGCACCCCACGGTTCCGGACCACCAGTCCTTTGGCTTCGCCGGCGGCTCGGTCGCCATGCCTCACTATTCCCGAGGGGATTAGCCCCACCGCCTTGCTCGATTCCCCTATAATGCTTCCAAATACTCAGGTCATATGAGTTCTCAAAATTTTCTTTTTTATGATTCTAGAAATGGAACTTCTTTTATATGGTTTTTTCATACGAGTTTATTATGTTTTTTACTAAGCTTGTATGTAAGCATTGTACGCGGAATTGATTATGCATTTGTTTCTTTGATGGGTAAGATTATTTCAGTTCTGTATTCTTAACATTTTACGCTTTCATGTTTGGCTCAAAGAAGTAAAATTTGTTATTGTGTGAAGGAAAAATACAGACTTTATACAAGTCTATAATCAAGACAAGGGGACATGAATTAATTGTTCTTACTCACTTGAAAAGAATGAAGTTTGGTTACTGGGACATTTTGGTTGAGACTTTATGCATATTGTATAGTATATCAATGCACACAACTCTCAACCGTTTTCACATACTTCTCCGGGGAAGCCCTCTTTAATTTTTCTTAAATCTGTAATGCATTTCATGTCTAGTCAAATAGGGATTTTTGTTTGCACACTCCCAACATTCGAATTTTTAACTGATATCTGAGAAGCTTACTAAGCCTTCCCTGTTACGCTCAAATTACCAAAATTTACACTCTTCAGACCTTAGGTGTTGTAGTGTTGATCACTTGGTGGGAGTTTCTTTATTGAATGATGACTAACTTCAGAATTAAAACACGTGAAAGGTGTGCATTTGGCAGTCACAAGAATGGATAATTATTTACATATGACGGTTGTGGAAATTAGTATCCGTCTCATTTTATGTTAAATATTCTTACTATGGTTAAGAAGTTCCACTCCACGGCTGTTTGATATAATTTTCCATGTACGTAATCTTCTAGGTACTGCCATCTCCCACCACTGGAAAATTTCTGTTGCCTACTTTTAGTCAAGAGAGTTCCATTCTGCATTCAACAACTCGTGAATATCTTAACAAGGGTAATGCTATTGACTCCTTCAGATTCAAACCCTATGGGGAGAATAAGTCTCCACCTCGCTGTTCTAGTTTTGGAAATCAGGTAATTGTTTGTCGCCGTTTTTCTCCCAGAATAATATCCTAGTGCACTACACACACATATACATACACATTCCACACACACTTCACTTACCTAGTTCATCTTTAATTTTCCTTTTCAATATGCAAGTTCTTTTTCAAAGTTTTTCTTTTGCTTGCTATTGATAAATCTATTCAACGAGTTTGAAAGGCCTTATTATCAGTGCCGGTAGATCTTACAATTGCCATATATCATGGATCCTTCTTTTTTTTTTTTTGGTTCCTGTCTGAAATGTTGTTGATTTTTTCCGTACTATTGCATCAATTGCTTTAACCTTTGGAAAATTCTCACTAGCTTGGTTTCTATATGGTGCTGCTAGCAAATTTAACGTGTCTATAAAATTGAAAAACAACTTCTGTTCATTAAAAATAAATTATATTTTTCATTTATTATTTGAATTAGAATGAGATGCATAAGGTGTGAGATTATAGGTTCTAAGTGAGACTGTTTAAACACGTGCACATATATTTCCTTCGGCCTGGATATTTACTTGCGATATTGAAACTTGTTTGCTTTTTCCTCAATGGAATGTCTTAGCGAACTGATGCTGTGGATCAAGCTATGGTTTTGGACAAACCATCTGTAGGTTTTGAGTTCCCGACAGAGTTTGCTGGAGAAACTACAATAAAACAATCTTTGGATTTCTCTAATGGTGTGAAATTCTTCGACAATGCGATTACAGATGCCAAGTCTGTTGACATGAAAGTGTCTCCAGATGTGGCAAGTGATCAAACTTCTCTCTCAAGAGGAACTATTCATGGAGAAGATGATGCAACACACGATCCCTCAGAAGGGAATCATAATGTGTCTAACCAAGCAGTTGGAATAGCGAGGACTTCAGAAGATGGATACAACTGGAGAAAATATGGACAGAAACAGGTTAAAGGAAGTGAATATCCAAGGAGCTACTATAAATGCACCCACACAGATTGTCAGGTGAAGAAAAAGGTGGAACGATCACATGATGGTCAGATAACAGAAATCATCTACAAGGGTTCCCATAATCATGCGAAACCTCAGCCTAACCGTCGAGCTGTACCTGGATCAGGATTTTCATTCGATGAGATGCCAGAGGTAAGTGAAGGAAGTGGATCTTGTCTTAAAGTTGAAGGTAGGTCAGGGTCTGTTTGGACAAATGTTCAATCGGGTTCAACTAGTAATAAACTTGGTTCCAATGGGAGGACTGATGGTATGGAGATAAAATCCTCAGCATCTGTTTTAACGGAGCTTTCTGACCCATTATCAACTGCCCAAGGAAAATCTATTGGAATGATTGAATCAACAGAAACTCCAGAGCTTTCATCTACAGTTGCTAGTGACGAGGATGATGAAGATGGAGCCATCCAAAGAAGCATGTCACTTGGAGATGATGCGGATGACGAAGAACCTGAAACAAAAAGAAGGTATTACTTTTATCTAGCTGTGGTCACTGCCAGGCTGCCATGAAATATGTTAATTAATCTTCTGCATTGGTTTTTCCTTGCAGGAAGAAAGAAAGCTCCTTAATTGAAACAAGTTTGACATTGAGGTCTGTTCGAGAACCAAGAGTAGTTGTCCAAATCGAAAGTGACGTAGACATACTTGATGATGGCTATCGCTGGCGGAAGTATGGTCAAAAGGTTGTCAAGGGAAACCCAAACCCAAGGTACCCTATTTCTCGATGTCTGTATGTTGTGGATGTTCACTAGAATGCTCGGGAATCTCTGGACTCGCATCGATTCATGAACATGAATGATAGGGAGTATGTGACTTCAGAATAATAGCTCGTGGTAGCTCTTCATCTTCATCTTCATCTTTTAGGTTTCTTATCTCAGTTACTATGTCATGCTACATATAGTGACAAGATATGGGGCTTGCGCTTCAATTACAATGTGGCTTGAAATTTGTTTGATTTTCTCTCCTACAGGAGCTACTACAAATGCACAAGTGCTGGATGTTCAGTAAGGAAGCACGTGGAAAGGGCCTCCCACAATCTGAAATTTGTGATTACAACGTATGAAGGAAAACACAACCATGAAGTGCCCGCAGCCAGAAACAGTAATCACATGAACTCGAGTGGCGCCAATGTATCTCCAGTTACTGCTAATAGTGCTCAGCCAGCCCTGACATTACCTAGGAATACCACCATTCCGAAGTCCGAAACACAAATACAAGATCTTGCCCCTCAGTTTGACAGAAAACCCGAATTTAATAACGAGTATTTGAGGCCTAGTTTCCCTGTGAGTTTCAGTAACGGAGCCTCCTCCCTTTACCCAATGAAATTTCCTCCTTTACAAAGTTTCATACCTTATGCCTCTTATGGATTGAATCCTAACTGCATCGCAATTCAACAATCTAGTTCTGTAACCCCTGTTGTTCCAGACTTCCCAATGTCACTTCCATTGGCTCTTCCCCCTTCTGGGAATCTCTCTTTGGTCGGTTTTGATTTCAACAGCAGGAAACCGGTTGCTCCAATTCAGCCTATGCTTTCAGGGCAGCGGCTCCAGCAAAATGATGTAAGGTTCCTCCGACCCAAAGAAGAGCAAAAGGATGATATCCATTATGATGCTCGTGTGCCTCTTGTGGATCACGCAAATGCAGCCTCCTTGTCATCTTACTCTTCTTCAACAGCATACAATCAGATTATGGGAAGTTTTCCTTAGTCTTTTTCCCAGCAGTAAAGCAATTGAGGCAGACTGAACTTGCTCTTTTTCACTTATTAAGGTTTTAGTTTTCTATATTTTTATAGCGATAGTTTTTTCTTAACAGATGCATATTATGAAATTGTTATACAAATTGGATACCATAAGGTGTATCCAATATCATCCACATTGTTCAATTCTATCAATAGAAATTTGAATATCAAGCGCATTCATTTTACATCCAAAAATTGTGACTTCGTGTGCATCATTTATCTTTCCTAGCTGGGATTTTAAGTCACAAAGCGTTTATATAGAGAGGGAGTGATAGAAGAGTACTTTTTCTTTAAAGATAGATAGTTCACATTTTTGCACTACTTTCGTCAGTAATCATCTATACCCCAAATATATTTTAAATGACAAATGATATTTATCTCGATAGAATAAAACTTTATACTCACAAAATAGTAGGTCTTACTAAGTTGGGTCCCATTTACTCACCTAGTGGGACCCACCTTGTGTAAGTAGCGGGGTTTAACCTATTCATCCCAATGGGTGCTCATTTTGAATAGAATAAGACTGGATGAAACATTCAACAGAGCAATCAGCTAACTTCAGTTCTTTAATTCTACTAATAGTCCTCCTTCATGTGATGAGAAACTGAGAATGGGAAGCTTGTGCTTCAAGTTCAGTATTTGAAGAGCGCAATAGTAATCTTATGTCCCATAAATCTCAATCATGCTCTATAAGTAGTTGATGGCATCTTGCCATCTTCCTCTCTCTCAAGACAGAGTCTCAAATCTTAAACACAATCCTTCACATGCATTTCCAGTGATACAATCATTCGCACAAAATCAAAGATTTACAAGTAATCATCTCATAATATATTAGAACCATAAACTAAATTCATACGATAAAGTAGAACTATATCCTAAGACATTGTTCGTCAAACGATTTCCAAAAGTTTCAACCATGAACTGTAGTGCGAGCACCATTTCAACTATGAAAACCAGAGACAAGAACAACTACCACTTCATTTCGACATAAACACACATTAGATCGTTGTACTAGGAACATGCTTTTTAAACCTTTTACAACTGAAAAACAGTATGCCACTCTATGCAGTATCCACGTTAATACGATATAAAACCCAATACAAAGCTGCTGAATTAACCCAATATAAGCATGAAACTTTTAAACTAATTGAGAAAGTGTCTAAATATGGACAAAATCTCAGTTGACCGGATATCATCACCTTAAACAACTATTAAGAACATAAATTAAGCGTTGCATGAACCCAATTGACTTTTGCGCAGTAGTAAAAATCAAGGGAAAAAAAAGACCAAACATATTCTGAAATTAAAGCCACCAAACGCCTCAAAAATAGAAATCTCATCGTCACCATCTTTATAACCAGCAAGAGAGTATAATCGGTAATATACATCATCATTATGATCATCACCATAAATCCCAGATTTATCAAGTACTACCTAAACAAGAGACGAGAAACAACAAAGGACCCACTTTTTTTTCTCCAGACGCTTCCCCAAACAACAGAAAAAGCCCAACGAAGTCATTATATAGATTTCCATCAATACGATAACATTCAAACAAACCCCTCGATCGATCAGCGAGATCAAGACGAAACTTTTCACTTCTTGTGGCTGCCGCGAACGCCGGGGCGAGCCTTGGACGTTTCGGCGGCATGGGTAGCGTGGAGATTGGAGAGCTTGGACTCCTCGGCGTCGTGGTGAATCTGCATCGACTTGATGTCCGGTGCGGTGATCTTGCAGTGCGGGCACTCGTATTTCGCGTGACCGCCCTTCTCCACACCGACGCGGTCGGCAAGGCCGGCTTTTCCGCCGCCGCGATTCGTGGTGGCGGCGTCGACTTTGGCGGCGATCTCCTTCGCCGTGTGCTTCTTCGGCTTGGCCTTGCCGGTCATGGTTGAGTCTCCGATCGCCGGAACTCGCGGAGGGTTTTTCTGGTTGGGGAATCGGACGGAAGGTGGAGAAGAGGAAAACGAGGAAACACCCAAAGAAGACCCAGGAATTGAAAACCCTAATTGAAGCTTGACGGAGATTGGGTGATGGTGATATAAATAGGCTTATCTGCATTTTGCGGGGTATTCTGGTGGGTTCGTGTTTATTTTAAGCTTGGTGAGTCCGCGAGAATGCGCTAGTTATTGAATATTGATCTGATTGGTGTAGAAGGCTTTAATAGATTTGGCCATTTGGGCATGAATTGGGAGCATGTGATCATCGCCCGTTTTTCCCCTCTTTTATTATTCATCATAAGTAATTTGATTATAATTGATACTTATCCTAAGATTGGATTTATCTATAGATTGTTTGCATTAACCCCGGAAAAAGTATGGTTTTTCTCTTTTCTTTTTAATTATACAAAAGAAAATAAAATTTAACGAAACAATTATAAAAATAAATAAATAGGTTACGAGATAATCATACGTGTCTTTAGCCAAAAAAAAAAAAAAAAAAGTGTTATCATTTTAATGCTATGTGATGATAATCATCTCAGATATAAGAGTTTGAATAGTACATATGTAATGTATAGAGAGGATCAATGTTACGACAATATAATGATTGCGCCACTTAACATTAATGATTATAAAATTAACCTTGGTAATTTTTCTTAGTTATTTGGTTACACAATTAGACGTATCCAATGTCAAAATATATAAATTCCTCCTTTTCAATTTCCAACCCTGACTTGAACACCAAGAAATCCTCCCCGTTCTTGCTTTGATAGACTTTTCCAAATGCCATTAATTGGCACATTTGCTAATTTTATGTAGTTTTTTTTATCACTTTATGGGACATTTTATGTAGTTGAAGCAATGTTATCAATGTTTACTAAGCAATATTATTGTTATTTTTGCAGTTATCAATAGTCTTTGTCGTTCTATGCTATAAGAAAATGTCTTTTTAGTACGCTTTTTAATTTTATCCGATATGAGACACTAATGTTTTCTCAAAGTTATCTGAAATTTTATACTTGTACTCGGGAATATAGATACCAATATTTTCTCAAAGCTATCTGAAATTTTATACTTATACTCAGGAATATAAATTTATTTTGTAGTTCAATTGCACAAATTAACGGAATTTTACTGAAACTTCTTTTTACTACCATTCTTAGGAACATTGAATGCAGCGTCTTTAAATCAATGGCATAGTGTTGCAGATCATAATGCAATGGATAATCAATAACGTCACTGATATATATATATATATTAATCTCTTAATTTGTTTTTTGGGCTTTTATAATTTTGCAGGTTGTGTTTGAGGTGTTCAAGGTCTTATCAATGGCATTATTCCAAATCACGTTTTTATAAGAGTTAAAGAGAATTATAAAGCAATTGTTGGTTGTTACCACTGAGAGTGACACCAACCATATATATGTATATATATATATAATATGTATATATATATATATATATGTATGTATACAGAGGTCTTTAAACTCAAAAACAAAGGATTTCACATAAACTACTAACATGTCGGATTCGGACAATGGATAGACAAAATATGAATATAACAATCAAATGGAACAATATCACATGAAGGAACAGCCCAACCATTAGGAAAGGCAACACATACACAGAAAGAAATAGCTTTATTTGTCTTCCACGAACGGATGGAAAGAGAAGTTTCTTCTAGTCCTCATCGCAAAATCAAGTGAGGAACATGTCTAACTAATTTGCTCGCCGTATGTGTAAGAACAATTTAATTGGCGGATTTAAAAAAAAAAAAAAAAAAAAAAAAAAAAAGATGGAAAAGAAAAAGAAAGAAAACGTATACTATGTTTGCTTCCAAAGATGATGTCTAAAAGTAATCACCACAGAGGTTAAAGGATAGTGGGGTCCACGAGTTATATGCAACTTAAAGGGTTTAATTAGGGGCAAAAACTGTCTATTCTTTGCTAAACTAATGTGATCTGGGGTTTCTGTAACTTCTCTTCACGGTACAGGAGCCTCCTCTTCTTTGAACCATAGCCATGGTATCGGTAAATAATGCTGTAAAGGCACTGCCTCAAGCAGATAACTTCAAAAGTCTCTATAAACCTCATATCCGTTATCCTCGATTTCACGCCAGCGAATCGCTGGTACTCCTCGAGCACAGAAGACAAACACCAACTCTGCAGCTTCCTCAGGCAACCAACAAGACAACCCGTCCGGTGCTGAAGAACATAAAAACAATAAGAAAAAATGTTTGTCCCACATCTATATAGGATTATCAAATAATTAACAACAATGTGAAATCTCTAACATAGCTAAGCATAGCCAGAGTCATTAACTGAATTGTTACAAGAGCCAAAACATTACTAGAAAAGTGAATTGATCACCAAACTGTGATTCTGTCACATAGGACAAAAAGAAGTAACAATATTTTATTTATGCAAAGATAGCATTAACTACCCTACCAACATAGTGGAATACACGTTAATACGTTATCCATTAACTAATAATAACTACCACTACCAGTAAAGTGGACCACAGACCATCCATTAATTGCATTATAATTAAGTGGAAACACACACAAAAACACAAGGCTAGTACTAAAAAAACGACACTTGGAAAGCCAAGAAAACCAACTAGCAAAGTAGCAATTGAATAAAATACCTTTCCACGCTTGCAGTGGATCAAAACCGGATGGTTTCTCACATCTGGAAACACCAAACAATATTCATACAATGTCAACAACATAAATACTCCAAAAGTACTTGAAATAGACAAGACAACATTATAACAAATTAGAACAGAAAAATGAAACTAATGTTTTTTCTGACAACTCTAGTACCAATCAAGATCCTCAGAGCATCCATGATAGTATCCCTCGGAATAGATACAGAAGACTCCTGAAGATCAAAATTATAGGAGCAATAATGTCAACAACAGAGCGTACGACTAACTAAGACAAACCCCATTAAATTATTCTATAGCTTTACAAGACAACAAAAGTATGTCACATGAATGACCAATTTTCAATAAAATTCTATCCGCTTTATGTTAGTAATATACTATTGTTTTCAAGAAGATTAGTTTTAGGTTTTACAAACAGAGACGTAGATAGGAGGCTAAAAAGCAAAATAACAAACAGAAACAAACAAACACCTTTCGGCAAATCAGAAATTCCAGATAGATAAGCAATAAAATGCACACATATAAAGAAGAAGTTTTTGGTACTCCGACAATGAAAGAGACGGGAAATAAAGATGAAAAGGGCAATCATATATACATATATATAGACACACACACACACACACACACATATATATATATATATAGAGAGAGAGAGAGAGAGAGAGAGAATATACCGTCTTGCCCTCAATTCCGAATTGAAATAGGCGAATATTATTCGACTGAAGAAACTTCAAATTCTCCTCTGGATAGGGCTTAGGGCACAAATATCTGTTCAACAACACATCCCAAAGATCAATCAGAACACGTCTCTTTCCCAATTCCCACCAATCAAACGACGAGACATCAGATTCTGTTTGGTTCGCCAGAAAATTCAACCAATTGTGAAATAAAGATTCATTCTTTCTAAATTTTTCTATCGCTTTCTCTCCCAACCAGCCATTAATCAAAATTCAACAACACAAAACAAACCGGGCAAAAAAAAAAAAACTTTCTATTTTCTTCTCAATTTCACAAACACACGCACGCATGCATATATGTGTGTGTGTGTGTGTTAAGGGTCGATAACAGTGTGTATGTGCGTGTGTGTGTGTGTGTGTGTGTATATATATATATATATGTGTGTGTGTGTGTATATGAATGTGTAATGACTTACATGATGGATCGGAGATTTAGGGTTTGGAGAAACCGGAAATTGACGGGTTGAGGGAGGCCAGATCTAAAAATGCCATCTTCAACCATCGAGAAATTGGTTGGCGGCACCAAAACGTCGTCGTCGGCGGCTTGCTCTTCCAATATAATACACCCCATCGCCGTCTCTTTCTCTCTCTCTTTCTGCTATATCACCTCCTCCTTCTATGTCTTCTTTTTCTTTGGGTTTGTTATTTCGGCAAATCCCAAAAAAAAAATATTAAAACGATAAAAAAAGAATGTGGGTACTAAGAAATCAACAAGATATGATGTTTTTTTTATTTTGTGAAAAGAGAAGGAAAAGGAAACAACAGCCGTGTGAGTGTAAAGAAGTTTTGGGGAATTCAAGGTTTTTGATTCTTTTATTTTCCAACTCTTCTTTGCTATTTATTAATTTAACGTGGGCGGCGTGCCGCGGTGAGACAGAGACGAAAAGGAAGTTGTTATTTCTTGGTTATTTATTTATTTATTGGATTTTCTACAATTTTTTTCCTTCTTAATTAAGAATTTTAAATATGTTTTAGGTCAGAAAGAAAGAAATAAATTAATAAAGTGATTTGGATTCTTTCGAAAAAAAAAAGTTGCAAAAAAGGAGTGAGAGTGATTGAGGTGGGCTTTTTCTAATTGGATTTGGATTAACTTTGCCCCTGGTTTGGGTTGGTTTGAATTTTTTTATTTAAATTGAAAAATTTAAATTGTATAGTTTAAATTATAATTTAAATGGATGTTTAAATGTGTAGTTAAAATTTTAATTTGAATAGAAAATAAAATTTGAGTTTGTGTTTAGTATGTGTGAAAAGTAGAGAGAGTGATACTTTTTACTGTTTAAAAATAATTTAAATGGTTAAACTTGAGAAGAGAACTTAAACGAAAAATATAATTTAAATTACATACTTATTAAATGTCTGTTTAAATTATACTTGCTGTTCAAATTAATGTTACGTTTATTTTATCGATTTGAGTTTAATTACAGTAAAAGTTCTAAAAAATAGTCACATTTAATTTTTTTTACTACAATAAAAAACTCTTAAATAAAGTCACATCTTAATTCGAATTAAAAATTTGACTCAGTGAATTAAACAGATATTAAGTTAAACTAAATTAAATTAATGAAATAAATAATTATTTTGTTGAATGAGTCTTTTAGATTCATGTGGACTCGTCTTGTCCTCTAAATTATAGAGAATCTTCCTTTTTCCTTATAAGACCTTTTTTTTCTTTTTGACCCCTACTTTGTTTCGTTTAAGGATTTTGACCCTTTATTTCTCAAGAGACGTTTGTTCTTTTTGGAGGTGGGGTGGCGGAGGAACAACATTTTATGAGGATAATTTATTATGGAGACTGAGCTTCTCACTCATGACTAGTGCGTTTTTTTTTTTTTAATTTAAAAACATTCGATAATGATTTTTTAATTGCCCAACTGGATTTTCTCTTTTTTTTTTCTTTTGCATATATTAAAAAATATCCTTTTATTTGAAGGAAATAACAAAACTTTGAGCAGCCCAAGAGGCTGATTTCGAGTAAAATTTTAAGGGTAATTACGCCCCGTTTAGTTCGCTGATTCGAGTTTTTAATTCGAGTTGAGATGTGATTTTATGTGAGAGCTTTTTACTGTAGTAAAAAAGTTAGATTTGATTGTTTGTGAGAGCTTTTTACTGTAGTAAAACTCAAATTCTAAACTTGAATCAGCGAAATGACTGTCACCAGAAAAGCTTTTATGAAAGTTTAAATATATAAATCTAAGTCTCACCAAACTAACTAACAAAATGTTCCTGAAAAAAAAAAAAAAAACTAACAAAATGTTCTAAAAGAAAAATTAGCTGTCTAGTTTGTCGGCTTGACAAATATTAATTACCCACCAATCAAGCGTGTTTTGGACTTTTCTTATTTCGAATTTTACTTAATTTTGTTAACAAAAAAAAAAAAAAAGAAACTCAAGCATGATTCCACAGAAGTATTTATTTTTCAAAGATCCACCGATCAGTTTCTATTGTTTATTACTTGCCTTATAATTCACCGAAAAAAAAACTTTAACCACCTATCAATTTGTTTTTTGTTATATTCTTGGCAAGAATCTCTAAAATATTAAATTGAGAAATTACATTTGAATAATAGTAGATTTTCGGTAACTAAAGTTCTATTTAACCTTAGAAATAATCTAATCCAATCTAATTTAATATAAATGGATAAAAGAAATAAACTAACATTTATTTGGTTCAGCTTCTAGAATTTAAGAGTGTGTTTAGTTGGGTGGAAAAGAATGAAATAAGATGAAATGGAATTCTAGTTTGATGTTTAGAATTCTATAATTTTGTTTTGTTAATTTGTTCCCTTTTCCTTATTGTTTCTTATTTTATTTTTTAGGTTACAGTATTTTTCTTAAAATATTTATGTAAATAGTTGGTAAATATGTTATTTACGTTGACAAAGCAAATATATGAAGTATTGCTTTGTAAATAAATTATTTACCGTAAATATGTTATTTATCAAAAATATTTTGTAAGAATGCGCTATCAATCATAATTTCTGTAGAATAATCTAATTATAAATGTGTACCTGATTCTAGCGTAGAATTTAAATTTACTATTTTCATATTATAAGATTTTGATACTATTTCATTCCATTTATCAATTGCCACAGTCATCAGTATCAAACATCTTAAGAGAAGCTCGTACTACGAGTGGTCAATAGACTTTTCATTTTAAGTGCCCACTAACCCCGTTTAGTTCGCTGATTCGAGTTAATTCGAGTTGAGATGTAACTTTATGTGAAAGCTTTTTACTGTAGCAAAAAAGTTAGATGTGACTGCTTCTGAGAGCTTTTTACTGTAACAAAATTCGAATTCTAAACTCAAATCAATAAAATGAACGGGGTCTATACCATAAAACTACGGTTTTTAAGCTCACATCATTAAACACCGGAAGATAAAACACTATATTTATATATATATATGGTATTTGACGAAAAGCAAAATGTAAAAGAAAACATTGTACTATGATCAAAGAGATTCATTGGATTTGTTCACGGACCTTATATCACCTTTATTTCTTGTGACCTAAGAAACTTCACGTGCTGCATCAATCTGAACTTCATTTGAAGCAAATTTGAAATTTTCTCATAATCACGTTAAAAGTTTTGTCGCATTCCTTTCATGTTATCCACTTTCCACGTAAGAAGTTTTCACCCTCAGCCCACTCTTTTACCTTTTCTATGCCTTTGCCTGTTCTGGTCGTATGGCGATGACCATAGTTTTTTGAGTTTAGGATTACATTGCTGGATTTATAACTCTCAATTCCGATTGAAGTTCTTGCACACGCTTTATTGGTAACTGATATTTGACCAAGACCACTGGAAAGGAACAGAGATTGATGGTTCTTCATGCGGCGAACTATTGTTTAGGAACTGTCAAGTATTTTTTATTATTTTTTTTTTCTTACATTTATATACTGTGCATGTGTAGACGTATCAAAAAATTTAAATTAGAAACGTTTAGTTGATGGATTCAGAATCATGATTCAAAATTATTCTCGATTTACGTGTATTTTTTATGAGAAAAAATACTGTAGCGAACCATGAACCATGATTCGAATCATGTCACAAATCCTGAACCAAACGCACAATAAATGAGCTTACACCCCATCCCATTATTCGAGTTTTGAACTAAAAGTTCAAGCCATATATGTCAAACTCTAATTGAAATCATAAATGTTGAAAGCACTAAAATTTTAAAACTATTTACCCAACAGATATATTACTGGTTAGTATTTATTTTCACTTTCATATAGAACAAGTATGTTTAGTGCAAGAATTGGTGGTCATCTTTTTTCACTTATATAGCAGAGAATAATTTCTTCAGGACAGAGAAAAAAGAGCATAGAACTTAAAAAAAAAAAAAAAAAAAAAAAACACATACACAAAAGAATAAAACGTACGAGGGCCCAAATGAAAAACGATCCACAAAGTGAAATGAGTCCATAAGGATCTTGAAACCCAAATGTTATGTGATCCACATTAAACCCAAAGCAAAGCAAGGCAAAGAAAAGGGGGTTGGATAAGAGATAAGGTTTGCTATTCCATTTCATCCAACGAAATCTGAGAGTGACTGACAACCACAACCTCTCTCTCACAAAAAAAAAAAAATTTTCCCATGGACAATACTTGGCCTCTCTATAATCACACTCTATTTTCTGCAACTATCTTCGTTTTCCATTTTTGCAGATTTTTGGAGTTTAGAGAGAGAAAACAATGGCCACTGCAACTTCTCCAATGGCAAGCCAGCTCAAGTCCAACTTCACTTCACCACTCTCGAGAGCTCTGCTCTCCCCCAAAGGCCTCTCCGCCTCTCCTCTCAGAGTCTTGCCTTCTAGAAGACCCTCGTCCTTCACCGTCAAAGCTGTTCAATCTGAAAAGGTACGTAAGTTGGGATTACTAAATTAATTCATGCATGGCGTACACGTAAAACTCATGCTATAACTTTGGAATCATGTTTAGAGAAATCTTGTAGTAGTACTAGGACGCTAAAAAAGGAATGGAATGCTTATAAATTACAATTGATTTCATCTGGATTCGGATGCTCTTTTGTGATCAGTCACGAATTCAGATATTCTGAGTTTGAGTCTTACTGAAACACCTAGATTTTTTTTTTTTTTTTTTTTCCATCAGTGAGGCTTATAAGCTGTCTTATTAGTCCCCCTTTTTTTTTTTTTGCGATAAAATGAAACCTAAATACATGTTATCGTTCTAAAAAATTAGAATAATTATGTTAGAATCAAACACTATGCAAATTTAACCATTAGTAAATGCTCATCAACTGTATGTTGTATGGCTATAGAGTAGATTAAATGAAGTATTGAATGAGTAGAGGAAAGTATATGTATGAATTGCTTTGTCTTGGAAATGTTGCAGCCAACTTTCCAAGTGATTCAACCCATCAATGGTGACCCCTTCATTGGAAGCTTGGAGACTCCAGTAACGTCAAGCCCATTGATTGCTTGGTACCTCTCCAACCTCCCTGCCTACAGGACTGCAGTCAGCCCACTACTTAGGGGTATTGAGGTGGGCCTGGCCCATGGATATCTCTTGGTTGGCCCATTTGTAAAGGCCGGGCCTCTCAGGAACACACCCTATGCTGGTGGAGCAGGGTCCTTGGCTGCTGCTGGCCTTGTTGTCATCCTTAGCATTTGCTTGACAATGTATGGAGTCGCATCCTTCAATGAAGGAGAGCCATCCACTGCACCATCTTTGACTCTAACCGGCCGGAAGAAGGAGCCCGACCAGCTGCAGACGGCCGATGGATGGGCCAAGTTCACTGGCGGCTTCTTCTTCGGAGGAATTTCCGGTGTCACTTGGGCCTACTTCCTCCTCTATGTCTTAGACCTTCCTTACTACTTCAAATAGACCACATGTTGTTCTTGTCATTTGTTATTGCCTCCAAATTCACATGATGTATGTCTTATTTTGTGAAACAAAAGAAAAAAAAATATTATTGTACATTTGAAGTTGACCCATTATGTCACAACTAATGCACTTCATGTTTTGATTTTCACTTTAGTCATGTTACTTAGTTTTTGGCATTCAGTTTATGGAGTTCATTGATTTGATAGTAAGACACTTTTAATTACAAAACAAATTAAGTCAAGTATTTTTTTCTCTTTGAGTTAAGGATGTCTATTGAAATGCCAAAAATTCGTATATAGGCAATGACACCCATATATAATTACTTATAGCCATAGTAATCACAAACATACATAGAGCTTCAAACATTCACCACAAAGTACAAAAGAGAGAGACACCTTTAAGTTTGAATATATGGTCCTGATTTAGATACAATTTAAATACAAAGAACCGACTATATATGACCAACGTAGCAATGATATCTCTCTGTCTAAATTAAGAGGCAGAACCCTTAATAAGAGGAGTTTGATCAGGTACTTGTGCAGCCATGGAGAATTCAAACGATGGCCTCCAAGGATCAGATGGCACAGAGAGCAACTCAGGAGATATGAGATTCTCCCAACCCATAACGGCGTCGCTTATCGTCGCGGAACCATCCCAACCTATGTGCGTCACATGCTTCACATCTGTAGGACCTCCGATCTCCATATCCATTTTCAGTTCTTCCTTGTAAACTATACATCAAGTAACCAAAAAAAAAATATATATATATATATATATATGGTCAAAACAAGTAGCTCTTTTTAGAAAATAATATTATAGTATTAACAATATGCAATTATTTAAAGACGTACCAAAAAATTGAGAGAAGTTTTTGAAACCCTTGAAAAGCCTGTTAATCCCAGTGGATATGTTTGGTTTTCGGAGAGATAAAGACCTGAATGAGCTCTTTGTGCTTTCACCTGATAGGCTTTCTTCATCATCATCATCTTCTTCTTCCATTTCTTTTGGTCACAAAAATAACACACACAAAGATAAGTCAAAAGTATAAGATCATGAGCACGTGCGGGTGAAGAGAGAGAAACATACATATACATATATATATATATATAGAGAGAGAGAGAGAGAGAGAGAGAGAGAGAGAGAGAGAGAGAGACTTATTGGAGATGGGTTTGTGTGAGCCTTGGATTTTCTGGGCTGCTGTACTCCCACAGCCACACTTGATTCAGAGATACACCCGACTGAAAACGGAAGAAGTACAAATCTCTCCATTCTTTCCCTCATTTTTTTTTCTTCACAAACAGACAGAGAAAAAAAAAAACAGAGGGTTGAAATATGGCAAAACGGTGGTTGATGAAATGCAAAACTCGGAAGTGGGATTGTGTTTGTTATAAATGGGGTAGAAACTGGCTTTATTATCAAGTTACAATAATGTTACGTATGAAAAGTCTAGTTACACACATAAAGCCTGTTAGGTAGAGATAGAGATGTCAAAGAATGTTTTCTTTTTAAAAAAAAAAAAAAATTATTTTTATTTAACTCCAACTAACTAAAGGCTATGTTTGGACGTAATATATCAACATTAATATATCTCTCAATTATGAAATCTAACCTAGTATCCAATCCTAAGTCCACGTATACATATGTTTGGACGTAACACAGATTATAAAATTGACATTAAAATAATGTTAATTAAGTTTAGATCCACTTCACTTTTAGTTCAAACTGTTCTGTCTCCCACAAAAAATAAAAAAAAAAATAAAAAAGCGAATTTTCTTTTTCAAGTCTCTATACGGTGGGCACCCTCTTTCACTAACCTCTCTTGTAGAGAAAGCCAATATCTCCCTTTTAGTTTTCCTTTCAACAATTTTTTTTTTTTTCCCCAAACTTTTTGTCAATTTTTTTTTTTTTTGCGATTTTGTTGTTCTTTTGTTTTGTTTACTTAGATTGGACTCAACATTGGAGAAGTACATTCCAAGCGATTTAAGTAAGAGCTCATGACTAAGAAGACCAAATTGGGATATTTCTTGGGTTCAAAGAAGAAGGAAATATGATGGATTGTAAGAACAGAAAATCAACAGAAGAGGTTACAGTCTTGACTACCAAAAGGGATATTACCTAAGATTTTGGGTCACTACTTTTGAACTTTCTCTTACTGTAATTCTAAGATGAGACCCAACAAACTCCAGGACCATTAGATCTTTATTCGACTCGAAGTTTATTCAACATTGACAAATATAATTATTTAGCATCAAAAAAGAAAAAAACGTGAGAGAATACCGGGATAATAACCTCAATCTAATTCTGGCGAGTTGATTATGATAGACTCTAATGCTTTTCTGTTGGTTGTTGTCGTTTTTCTTGTCATTTACATTTTTTTGTCGTTTTATGCTGGGTTGTCGTTTTCGTTATTTTTTTAAAATTTCTTGTCGTTTTTTTAATCTTTTACCTTTCTTAGGTTGTTTGTGCCTCCATAAATCTGTCGAGAAACATTTTGGCTATAGTGAGGAAGGGAGAGAAGCAATAATAACAATTAAGCTTTCCATAAATTCTGTCTTCAATTATTTGGAAGAAGGCTTGTCTATTTGGGATGCTAACCTTAGCAAGAAAGAGCATTTTTCCTAGAAAGATCTGTTGATCACTTTTCTTTAAGGAATGATAAACCTTTGACCACATCACCTCTGCTTTGGAGAACAAAGAATTTGAAATCTATCCATAGTTTCTTCATTCAGTCACACAAACCTCTATTGCAATTCCAGGAGATATTTGGATAGAGACATTAACACCTAGCAATATAACACATGTTAGGACCTCACTCACCAGTAATCTCCACATGAGCAGGAACCGTGCTTAAAGTGATGAAACCGGCAGATATCTCTCACAATTATTTCCCGACCCAAAAGCTGAGAAGTATACTTAATAAAGTTATGACAATCTGTACAAACTCTAAGGTTTTTCATTATGCGAATCGGAGTCCCCAATGGCGTGCTAATGATGCCATAGGCAATTGCGAGCTTTTCACTGTGATAACCAAGAAACAATTCGCGTTCTTCTTCTTCTACATCTTGCATTACAAGCTCCACTGCGGATGAGTAACCAATTTCCTTCAATCTTCCGACCAGCTCATCCAAGTATGAATATATCTCTGCTTGACGGGGATGGGACCTATCTCCCATGACGAAGGCGTGGACTTGGTTTTTCAGTTGGATCCAAGATTGACCAGGGAGTTTACTAATTCCTCTCTGTTGCATCAAGCTCCTCACTTTAGCTGCTTCTTCCCATCTGCGCTTGTTAGCGCACATGTTGGATAACAAAACATGGGATCCTGCATCAAATGAATCCAGGTGATTTAGCTTCTCAGAAACCCATTTTCCCATTTCTATGTTTTTGTGGAGTCGGCAAGAAGATAGGAATGACTTCAAAACTAAACTCAGATGAGAGATGCAATTTTGATGAATGAACTCTTTAGCCTCATCCAAGCGACCAGCACGACCGTATAGATCAACCATACAAGTGAAGTGTTCGACTCCAGGCTTGATGCGATAAACTTCTTTCATCAAGTGGAAAATTTTGCAGCCTTCTTCAAGCAGCCCAGCGTGGCTGCATGCAGCTAAAACTACCGTAAAAGAAATCTCATTCGGTTCGATTCCCACTCTTATCATGAGTTCAAAAAGCTGAATAGCCTCATATCCTTGCCCATGTAGAGCACAAGCGGAGATCATTGATGTCCACGACACAACATTGGGGCTAAAAGTTTGTTTGAAAATCATCCGAGCATCCTCCAGGCTTCCACATTTAGAATACATATCAACCAATGCGGAACCTATGTGAAAATCTATTTTGTGTCCAATTTTCTGTACGAGTGCATGAATCTGTTGACCTAATGTTAAAATCCCAACATTAGCACACATAGAGGCAATGGTTGTGACCGTAAACCCGTCTACGCCAATACCTTCACGAACCATAGAAATAAAGGTTTGCAAAGCACCTTCATAGTCATCATTACGAACGTACCCTGCAATCAATGAACTCCATGCCAAAATTTCCGTCATTTCATGCTCATGAGCAGCTGTGGAATGTGGAGAGTTCAAATAAACCAGAGGCATCTTTCTGAAGATCAGCAATGCCTTTTCCATTTTCCCACATTTGGAATAAAAATCTATAAGTGATGTCCAAATAAATCCCTCGTTGTGACTACCGGAACGAAGAACAAAGCCATGAATTTGTCTCCCAAGTTCCACAAGCGATAAAGTTGAAGCTAAAACCAAACCTATTGAGAAAGTGAATTTGTTCAATGGAGTTCCATTTTTCACCACTTCATAGAGTAGCTCTAAAGCAGTTCTTTCATGCCCATTTCGCATTAGCCCACTTATGATCGTATTCCAGCTATCAACATCTCGGAAAGGCAATTCATTTAACAAATGCAGAGACTTCTCCACATTCCCAATACTTACATATCCATCTATCATTATATTCCATGTAATTTTGTCTCTCTCTTTTCTCGTCTCAAACAATCTTTCTGCATACCGAAAGTCGCCACATTTCAAATAAGCATCAAGAAGAGAGTTCTCTAATACAATATCAAAATCAATCCCATTTCTCAACATCCACCCATGAATTCTCCTAGCTTCATGATTCTCTCTTACACTAGAACACGACCTTAAAACACTAGACAATGTAAACTGGTTTGGACGAACACCCTCAACTTGCATTTTCCTAAAAAGCCCCAAAACCATACCAAATGACCCCGTTCGAGCCAAACCCGAAATAAGGATCGTCCACGACCGGACATCTCTATGAGGAATTTCATCAAACAGCTTGTTTGCATTGCCGAAGTTGTGAGATTTCACGTACAAACTGAGGAGGTAATTCGCCACGTTCAAACTTCGGACAGTTCCGTCCTTCACCGCTTTGGCATGAAGTGTATGAGCCATTTCACTCATCAGTGGCTGCCCAACGGAGCAAAATGGATATGCTTAAAAAGTCATGAGCAAGAAAAGATCTTTCTGGTTTGGACAAAATTGAAACACTGAGAAAGCAATGAATTGGGTAATTGCTCATCTTTCCAAATTAAAGATTCAACTCATTTATCGCCTCAGCAGCCACTCAACTTCCCACTTCCCAGCTTGGACACACAATGATAAATGATTTCTTCATTTCTTTTTCTCTCCATTCCAGTCATCAAAAAATTGCAAAAAGTTTAATTAATTTGAACAAAAGGGAAATCCACTCATAGATGCGAAGCTGCTTGAGCATCCCTGGTGGCCATTGTATCATTTTGGCCTTGCGCTTCTGGCTTCCAAATGTTTTAGTTATGGAGGATGCGATGAAAAGCTAAAAAGCGACAAAAATAAAAATAAAAATAAAAAAGGAGAACGACGGAAAACGACATCAACTTGAAAAGGGCACCGAATCAGAAACGACACAAAACTTTAGAAAGACAATAAAAACACAAATGTAAAACGATATCAACTTGAAAACGACGACAAGCTATAAACGAGAATAACTTGAAACAGACATCAACCGGAAAACGACATCAAATTTAAAAACACAACCTTCAAAACGACGCAAAAATGACAAAAACAAAAAACCGACATCTACTTGTAGAATGACCACAACCTGATATACACGAGTAACTTGTGAAACGACAACGAAGTAGAAAACGACAACAACCTAATAAGCGACATGAAACTTAGAAACGACAACAACCTCCACTAATAACTAATCAGAAACCAACCGCAATTCCTTTTTTTTTTTATTTTCTTCTTCTTTTTTTTTTTTCCAGGTACATCTTCTTAAAGAAAAAATAGCTAAGTGACCTTTTTTTACCACCTCTGTTTTATAAATAGTTCGATCTTTCTTATTTACAAGAGTCAATCAATAATTAATCCATATCAATAGTTATTAACTTCAGTCATTGACTCACGGTCAATCAATGATTAATCGATTCATTATTAATTTATCAATTATTTAATATTAATAATCATGTAATTTATTAATTAAAATTAATTATTTCAATTGATTTTGGTTAAGTATTAACTGATATTAATTAATAATAAAGAACCATTGAATTTATCAATGATTGACTCATAAATCAATTAATTATAAATTATTAAGTCAATTATTGACCACTAAATTAATAAAAAAATGTCATTTTTATAATTTTATAAAACTTCAGTCATTTATAAAAAAATCGTTCAAAAAAATTGCTGAAATCTCTTTTCTTAATACAAATAAAAAATTGAAATATTTTTCGATGTTCATTTGCTTTGAATCTAACGGAGGAAAATATTCCTCCCCGCTGGTTGTTAAAATATAAGCCAAGATCTAACATTATTGAGCCAGAAATCTTTTTCTTTTTTCTCTCAATATTCCCTACATTTTCGCTATGATGTAAAATTAACACGCTACAATTTTCTTCTCCTGTCCCCCTCTCTCTCTCTCTCTCTCTCTCTCTCTCTCTCTCTCTCTCTCTCTCTCTCTCTCTCTCTCTCTCTCTCTCTCTCTCTCTCTCTCTCTCTCTCCCTTGATAATTGGAATAACTCGTTAATGACTACTGATAAATAAAGCTCATGTTGCTATCAGCAGAAGTGTAACCCCCATCAACGACAAGATTATGAGCCGTGACAAAGGCAGAGTCATCACTGGCCAAGAACAGAGCCGCCATTGCCACGTCATCAGCAGTTCCCCCTCTGCCACGTAGCAAACTTCCTCTCTCCCCAACAATCTTCCCGACCTCCTCAGCCTTAATATCCACTTTCCCAACAAACTTCCTGAACGCACCAACAAGCATCTCTGTTGGAACCCCATGTGGCGAAATTGAGTTCACTCGAATCCCATGCACTCCCAACTCACAAGCCACGCTTCTCACCAACCCATTAATGGCTTCCTTTGATAATGTGTAACCATGTGATCCTAGCCCTCCCATTATACCTATTAAAGGGAAGGGGGGAAAATCTTGTTAGTATAATTAGGCTTTTTTTTTTTTTTTTTTTTGGTAATAAAAACGGTGTATTAGTTTATTTTTTTCTTATTTATTAGGGTCTGTTAGGTATGAATTCAAGAATAACATAGTTCTCTATTAGTCCTTTTAAATTTTTTTACTTCAATTTTAAGCACAAAGTAGTCTTTTTCACCATTGGTCTCTTAATTTTATTACGAGTTTTGTTTTTGTCAAGTATTGAAAGAAAGATGTTAAAACGGATTAACATATACCTTTGTAGCATGTTACAAATGCTATTGTTCTTGGTTTCAAATTTTTGGGGGTTTAAAACAAAAGTTATCAATAATTAGGGACTAAATCATCGAGTTAATCCGTATTAAAGATACCTGCCGAGCTCGATGTGCAAATAATGCTTCCCTTGTTTTTGCCCTTGATCATGGCTCGTGAGGCGTATTTTGTTCCATGTAAAATGCCCAGCACATTGACTGAGAGGAGGTTCTTCACTTTGTCCATGTCAAGGCTTGTTATGCTTCCTCCAGTTGGGCCGGAGATACCGGCATTGTTGAACATGATGTCTAGTTGGCCTTTCCATTTCAGTGCCAGCTCAACAGCTGATTCCACATCGGATTCTTTTGTGACGTCGCAGTGTATGTAGCGGCCTCCGATGGAGTCGGCTAGAGTGGCCCCGAGGTCGTCGAGGATGTCTGCAATGATGACATGGGCCCCGTTTTGTGCAAATACCTTGGCTGTGGCTGCTCCAATCCCTCTTGCACCGCCGGTTATAACTGCAATTTTTCCCGCCAACCTAAACAGAAGGGGAAACGGATGTTACTTTTTAAAATTTGAGGGTAAAGTGTTACAATGATCATAATTCGGGAGGAATTTTTGAAATTAATCGAAATTTGAATTATGGAAAGCCACCTTACTTAACAATTATCAAGAAGTTTGTTACAATAGCCTTAGACAATGCTCTTTGTTCTAACAATAATCAAGTTGACTATTTGTGTTTTTTTTCCCTTTAAAACATATATACGTATACATATATATATATATATATATATCTCAAAAAGAAAGAGATTATGCGTAATTGATACCTTTTTGAGATGATTATGTGACACTAACCTCTTTTCAGAAACCTTCTGAGCTTCATCAGTCTTATAGGAATTAGCTGCTGGGTCCATTAGATATTCGTATATGTTGAATGTTTGTCAGCAATGGATGTGCTTGCTATTCTATCTGCCGATAGCATCTATATATAGAAAGAGACCAAATTCAAAAGATGCTTAAGCATTAATTGAGGCAATTAATGTTTAAAGGAGCAAATAGTGTTCTTTAGGACTGTTATCTATTATTTAAATCCTCACACACTTTTCAATCCTTACATCTACTTCTAAACTATAAACCGGACTCCATTCCCTTGTATTGAATGAACTGTTTTTTGTTGTTTGCACCAATACTTATAAGTCACCTGATTCTCAGCGGCACACTGCTTAATTTCTCAGTTTGAAATTAATGATGTTAAGATTATTCGAGAATAAAAAAAAACAAAAAAACAAAATTAAGGTCAGTTGAAGGAATATTATATTAAAACAAGAAGACGTCGAAAATTCGTCTTATTGATGAGTCAGCTGTTTTCTTATATTTCTATAAAATTTTGTGGGTATTAAGAGAATAGATGATTAGTTGTATTTTTTCAGCCAACAAAAAAAAAAAAAAAAATTTGAATAAGACTAATCTGCTAGATACAGTAAGTTCAATTTTCAAACTGAAATCACACACACTGTCGTTATTCCTAGAAACTTCGAGGTTATATCAAAATCTAGTTTGTGTACCACAATAATCAACTAATTATCAGACGCCACGTGTAATTATTCAGTTCCGTATTCTACAAGCAACAAAGTTTTATTTGTGGACTTGAGCAATAAGTTGGACCTTTGACTTTGATCTCTTTCCACGCCCACCACGCGGTATTATATTATGAACACTCACCTCTATACACAAGATATAAAATAGAAGCAATTCATTTCATTTATGCGTCGTGGAGTATTTGAGGATATGAGACATGGGTTCTTCCTTCTCAAGCCAAAAGTGCGATGTGTTTATTAGTTTCAGAGGTGAGGATACGCGTGATAATTTTACGAGCCATCTTTACGATGCTTTGCAGACGAAAAAAATCAGTACTTACATGGATGACAAACTGAAGAAAGGAGATGAAATTTCACCTGTACTTTCGAAAGCGATTAAGAAAGCGAAGCTTTCCGTCATTGTTTTCTCCGAAAACTACGCTTCTTCCTCGTGGTGCCTGAACGAACTTGCACAAATACTCGAGTGTAAGAAGAAAAGGGGACAAATTGTAGTGCCGATATTTTACCATGTGGATCCATCAGATGTCCGGAAACAGAAAGGCAGTTACACAATTACATCGAACAAGTTCAAGGGCGGAAAACGCAAGGTGGATGAATGGAAGGTAGCTTTGACCAAAGCATCAAACTTATCTGGATGGGATTCACGATCCCTTAGGTACGGTAATCTCTTCGCTTAATAAAGTATTAATTTTCTTTTCTTATCCAAAATTATACTAACTAATTTTCTGTTCATATGTTTTAGGCCGGAGTCGAAACTGATCAAGGAAATCGTCGGAGACATAAAGAAGAAGTTGGAACAACTTCACGACGGGACGAGTGCTGCAATGATTGCAGGTGCTGTCGGCGCAAACATGGCTGTTGCTGCTGCAAGCGCTTGTTGATCAAGTGATAGATGATTTAATTAAGGAAATAATTCAAATGACCCCATGCACTCGAATATAGATCATGGAATTAATTTCTTTAGAAATCCAGAACATGTCACGGATTATTGGATCGATTCAAAGGTTAATAGCAGATTTTGTACAGCTGCCTCACGCTTTGTGATTTTAATTTCTTCTCTTGTATATATTTTTCGTCAGATTATAGGCCTTGCCTAACTGTTTCTATAATGCTAGAGGCTATCGTTATGATTTTTTTTGCTCTTGGTTTATGAAAACAGACTATCTAGTTGCAATCACATATTGCTAGTCTTTTACCACGTGCAAGCCTCAATAATTTTAAAAAAAAGGATATAGAGGCAAATGGCCCCTTTTTAAGGATTTAACTTTATTACTGATTAACTCTTTTATTTTTCATTATTAATTTATATTAGTTAATAATTAATTGAAATCAATTAATAAATAATTAACTTCAATAAAAAAATTACATGTTTATTAATGATAAATAATTGATAAATTATAATAATTAATAGGTCAATCGCTAGTTGACTACTGAAAAAATAAAAAAGTCAGCCATTTATTCAAAAATTAAAAAGTTCAACCATTTATCAAAAAAAAAAAAAAAGAGTCAAAAAACAGTCATTTACCTAATTTTCTCTTTGAAAAAAGAAAATAGAAAAAGAACATTTGATATTTCTTATAATCTTCAATGCTCTCGTTGTGAAATGACCTATATACCCAAAACATCTTTAATATTTGCTCTCTCTTTTGAAATATAATATTTACTTATTCGACTATTCAACAATTTTTTTTTTTCCATTATCATTCCAAAATGTCGCAACAAACTCTCCTTTATTATAATCTCGAGGAATTTTTTTTTTTTTTAAACGTAAAGTGCATTTAAACTAAGAGGGAATTACAAATACCAATAGTAATATTGTAAATTACCTTATAATGTACGAGATACAATTACCCTCAACTTGAGACCGGTTCCACCGGTGGAATCGAATGGTGGTTGCGGAAGAAGACGTATACTGAGACCTAATAATGAGAAAGTTTCTAAGCACACCTATTATCAAATGTTTTCAGTGTTAACCTTATAATTATACTATCTGATATTCACACAAAGTGCATGATAACCCTTTCATATGTTTGATTTTTCTCCCCATTAATTTTGTAAGCATGATCAATTTTTAAAAATATCAAGACTATCCTCAACATTATGTATTAAGAACTACGTTAAATACCAATTTTCTAAAAAAACTAAATAAAATATATTTCTAAAACTTTAAAATCTAATGAAACAAAAATTTATAAATAGTTGATTCATGAACCAGCCAAGCCGGATTGTGTAATTCCTTGCATCACAAAGTACGTAAGAACTTCGACAACAAATACTACTCCCTAAGAAAAGATGGATTTGAACTTTAATTTAAACGACAAAAAGAAAAAGTAATCATATAACAGTTAGTGATAATGATAGAAAATTAAAAAAAAAAACATCAAATGCATACTCAGGCTTTGTTCATTTCGCTGATTCGAGTTTAGAATTCGAGTTTTGCTACAGTAAAAAGCTCTCACAAACAATCACATCTAACTTTTTTGCTACAGTAAAAAGCTCTCACATAAAATCACATCTCAACTCGAATCAGCGAACTAAACGGGCTCTAAATGTATTATAGAATTTTATCAAGTCATGGCTCTTGTGATAAAATACTTACATATCTAATATCTACGTCTCTTCAAAGGTTCAAGTAGGCTTCATTTGTCAATAAATGACACCTTGACCCAGTATTTTCTAGTTCTACCAAAGAAAAACTAGAACACCTTTATCCACTAGTCAATTAAAATGGGGACATTTGACTTAAAAGTACAATATTAATATTAATATTAATGTATTCTTTTAGTATTCGTTTCTGGAAGCTAAGTGGTCAAGCAATCAATTGTGAAGTTACTTGAGCATGGACGTCAGATAATGTTATTGGTTCTATATTCTTAAAAAACTCTTAACCTTTTTTCTTTAATTTCTGCACCCCTCTTAGGATATTAACACTTGTTTTTATTTTTTATTTTTTTGCTTTTCTTTTTCATTTTAATCACAATAAACGGATACATATTGATCACAATTAGCTAAAATTTTGCTCAACAAAATGGGTGGCTCTTGTTGTGCCTTTTCCTCGAGAAAGAATTACGACGTGTTTCTCAACTTTAGAGGCGAGGATACGCGTGATAACTTCACCAGTCATCTTCGTGAAGCTTTGAATAGGAAGAAGATCAAATGTTACACAGATGACACACTTGAAAGAGGGGATGAAATTTCTTCCACAATTCTCCAGGCAATCAAGAAATCAAAAGTATCACTAATAATTTTCTCAAAGAATTATGCTTCTTCGTCTTGGTGCTTAGACGAACTCGTCCAAATTCTCAAATGCAAGGAGAAAAATAGACAGATTGTTATACCGGTATTCTACGGTGTTGATCCATCAGATGTTCGCAGACAAGAAAGTTACTACGTGCTCAAATTTAAGAACAAAAAGAAGGTACATGCTTGGAGAACCGCCTTGGAGAAAGCTGCCAATATCTCAGGATGGCATCCACAGTTAATCAGGTAATTAGTACATATAATATATGTTTTTACTTGTTTTAATTACTGTTATATCATCAGTTTTTCTTTCTCTACGCCGAGTCTTTATGAATTAATGTTGTGTGTATCCAGGCCAGAATCAAAATTGGTAGAGGCAATTGTTGAAGATGTTATGAAGAAATTGAATCGGCGTTAGGAGATGATTTCAAGCAGTTCATGACCAGTTTTTTTTTTTTTTTTTTTTTCGTTTTTTTTTTTTTTTTTTTTTTTTTTTTTTTTGGTGACAAAATGAATCATCATATGAAATGAATTAATAGAGCTAATAATTTTGTATTCATGATCTCGTCTTAATTATTTGTATTCACTAAATTATATATCAAATTCTTATTCTTATTACTGAATTTCTAGTACTGACTACATATTCCTCCAATAATGCAAAATGAAACAAAGATGAAAGAGTACTATATGCTAAAAGGAAATGCAATATATGTATACCATTTCTCACCATATATATTCCTGCAGTACTGTTGGTATGTTGTGTAGTTACCATTTCTCACCAACAATAAGAAGGGGCCAAAATGAGGTGATTGTGTAGTTATCGATCCTTTGGGGTGAGCCGAGTGTGAGATTAGGGTTAAAAGTGGATGATATCATACTAAATGTAGGTATGAATCGTTATAAATTAGAACGTGACTAACAATAAAATATGACCTAAAAAAGAATGATTTTGACCGTCATCGATCCCGTGCGGCAAATCTTCATGAACCGGAAAAATATTTACAAACTTAATAATTTAGCAATAATTCTACACCCGCTTAATCATCTTGATATTAAGATCTTAAAGGATGAAAATCTCCATTTAACTCAGAAATAAATAAATAAAGATATTTTTCATTTCCCCTCTAGTTTTGGCATACAGCCTTGCTTTCGTAAATATATTTGATATATGTATGGCCGTTATAGAGCACACACCGTGCTTTTTAATAAATTATTTAAGTATATCCTTAATCTAAAGAAGACCACACTTATGTATTCTTACCTTTTCATTTTCCGATTGTTTAGTTGATTTTTAAATGAGTAGAGATTTTGGTTGTTTGTTTATTGTTTCCTTGATCATGTACAACGTAAAATGATCAAGCAGAAAAATGATTTATGAATTAACTACATAAAAGTAATAATTGAGTGGAACCTCCAAGTTGTTAATTATAAAAAACGTCTTGCATATAGAATAAAATGAATTAAGATTTGCTAGTGGGGTATGACTCTGGAATACACATGCTTCTATTCTAGATAACTAAGTGTGAACTTTTTCAAGGCCAAAAGATCTACCAAGAATCGTACTCAGAAAACAAAGAAGAAAGACTCGAGATTTACTCGGTTCAGGTTTCTTTCGAAACCTACATCCAAGGCAGGGGTAATCTGATGCGATAGGTGGAGCACAAGGACAAACGACATTCAAGAGATCCATTGAGTCTACCAAGTAGTCCGGTAATAAGGCTTAAAGTCAAACGCTTCAAGGAAGCATTGAACGGGCTGGTTCAACAAGTTAGAGATATGACAAACACATGAAGACCCAACACAAGTCCAAATCCAAATGTAGAGAACCTAGTCACCATGATTAAGGTTCTAGAAGATTCAAGTTAAAGTGATGGCCGAATAAGAGGGGCTGGTCGAATTGGGCCTAGGAGAAAAGCTTTGTGTAACACTCATTTTTCTAACTGACAAATTTGTAGAAATAGACGTTAGGAATTAACATGAATGATGTTATGGTGTTATAATTAGTTAATTCTAACATCATGTTGAGTTATATTTTGCAGGTAAATGCGACGATGACTCGTAGTGTAAGAACAAGTTCATGCCAAATTGTTAAATTTTATCTGATGATTTGATGGATATGTGTGTTGATTTAATACCATTGATAGATTATATGGATATATGATATTACAAATACATATTATATAGCTATGTATATATATTATATATGTAAAATATCAATAGCCAACCACCGTTTATGTTATTACATTTTGTTGGTGATGATTAGTTCTATGATGAATTGTTAAGGGTGAGGATTAGTTTAATGTCTTTGGAGTCAATGACCGTATAAAGAAACTTTGACCATGGTTTGCAACACGATTTCTACCTCATTGACAGCCCATCAATCACCCAATTCAAGTCAACTAATTTTCTTAATTGAGTTGATATATATTGCATGATTCTTTCTGCATTTGGCTTAGTGGCAGTAAGTAGACAACTTGCAAATATACCCATACTCGTACAACAAGAAGTAAAATGGGCAGATTCATGCTTTGGATATATATAGCGTTTCCTTTGATATAATTTAGCCATTTACATTGTCAATGTAAGAAAAGGGGGATTAGCGTGGACGTCAAAGGAGGGAAAAGTAAGGAAAAAAAAAAATACTCCTTTTAAATCATACGTTTTCACCTCCATCCCATTAGAAATTTTTTTACCTTTCTCCATCTCAAGCTCCTGCTCTCTATCTTTCTCTCTGCTACCTCTCTCTGTCACTTTCTCTCAAGAGCCCTAGCCACCATAGAATTTTTCATTATCTTCCTTTATTCTTTTAAGAAGAATACAATATTAGAAAAATTGTTTTAAAGGTATGTGTTCCTATCATGATATTTCGTGTTTTGCTATTGATGGAAGGAGATGTTCATATATCTTCATAGTTTTGTGTATGATGGTTGTGACGTAATTGTTGAGGAAAGTATCATAAGATTGTTATCGCTAAGTTTTAAATTTTGTCACGATGATGATTTTGATTGATTGATAGAATGACATGTTTAGAATTTCTTTTACGCCTATGTGATTGTTAATCCTCTATTTTCTTTATTTATTATTTTCTTTTTATTCATTGTGGATAATATTAGAAGCATGTTTAGGTTGTTTCCATGATTTATTTGAGTTATATATGATTTCTAGTTAGGTGCTGATGAGAGTTGTTGTATGACGCATGTTTTAATAATTCTCGGATATGATTATGTTGGAAGCATGTTAGAGTTGTGGATAATATAATAGGCTGACATACATGATTTTTGATGAGTTTTTGATGAGTTTTGGACAATTTAAAGGGAATTTCTTGGTTAATTTCGGATTATAGAGTGCTGGAATTTCTCCAGGTTTCATGTCTGAATTTAAAACAGGGTTTTAGGGAGCAAACGAATTCCGTTTTTAACAAATTAGATATCATTAGAAAGCTATAGATGTCTACTTTAATTTGAAATTAGTTTCAGGTCATTTGGAGTTATATGTGAATTGTTATGAGTTTTTAAATTAGTAAAGGTCTGGCTGCCCGTTTTTGTTAAGTTTTGTGATTTTGTGTAATCAGTGGGTTTTGTGTCTTGATGTTAATGAATGGTGAGAATGGTATATTAAATGTTGTTTTAACATGATCAATGTATTTGATGAGTTATTAAGGCTTTTTAGTAATCTTATTTATGATTTATGACATGAACGGTTCTAGAGGCGAGCACCCGAGGACCTCATTCGTCGCGCCACCGTTGTGAAATTTAAAAAGGTTAAGTAAGGCACTCAAGTAAGTACACTCTCACCTGCAACATGAATCGAATAATTGAGAAGTATATGATTTCGATGTTTATGATGATGTGATGACGCTTTTAATATTTCTCTTATGATGACGTTTTGAAGAAAAATGTATATGTATTTTTATGTTTTAAATGGCGTTGTACACCCTTGATGGTGACCGGTGAGTGGTCTTATTGCCACGGTTGGTATGGGATTTGCTACCCCATGCTTTCCATGGCTAGCGCGCTATGATGGTACAACGTCGGGCCCAATATATGATGGATTTTAAAGTTAAAAATATGTTCAAAACTAATTATTCTTATGATGACGTTTATTGATGATGAATAAAAATGTTTATTTACATTTGTGTGAATTAAGTGTCTTACTAAGCCCTTGCTTATATAAGTTATTTCATGTTGCAGACAATCAAAAGGGTAAGATGTAGCCATGGAGGATATTGGGGCGGATGCGAGCTATGCGTGATAGGAAAACGGGAGAAACGATCATGGGATGAAAGTGTTTAATGTTAAACAAGGTTTTTAGTTTTCATTTTTATTGTTTTGGAACTTTGGTTTATTGTGGTTTTGATTTGAAGAATACATCTTTTTTTTTTTTTTTTACGGTATGGATTTTTATAAATGAGTTGAACCTAAAGATTATTTTTCATTGATGAGGTTTAAACTTTTTAAAGTTATAACTTAAAAAAAAATCTAGGCTTTTCTTTAAGTCATTTAAAGTAAAGTGTTTTAAGTTTAACTATTTTTCCGCATTCTTTAAGAGGTAAACGTTTGAAAGTTAAGATAACTGTGATGGCCCGTGAGGGGTCGTTACACTTTGTGGCCGAATTGGCCTTGGGTTAGAATAGATAGGGTTTTGCCGAGTTTGGGCTTTAGGCTTAGATAATTAGATGATTAGATGTTTTAGTTTTCACTAGGTTGTGAAATCGCATCCTATATACATAGGGATGTTAAAACACGTTTTTTAGCAATTATTGAATAATCATAATATTGAGGTTTTGCATATTTTGTGCTCCTTGGTTCTTGAGAGAACTTTTTTGAACTTATCAAGTACTTTTTCTTGTAACATTCAACAATCGAACTTATCATTAAGATTAACGGGTGATTCTTGATAATCTTGGTGTAGCGTTCTTCATCTTTCGTAGTTCTTGATTCGCGTCTTGATAGACAACGAGTTAAGGCTCAACAATCTTGCGTCTTGAAGTTCTTAGAGTTGTGATCCGAGTTTGGTGTTGGGTCTCATAGCGTCGTTGGCGAGGTTCATATCATAATCCCCTGGCTCAATCCACTGATCACAAGAAGAATCAAATACAACCTTAGAAGTTAGATCTCACAACAATCAGACAAAGAAATCACTCTCAGTCACAAGCTCGAAATCCCAATGCTTGCTCTCAATCTTGTCTCAGAACCCAAGAACTTAGGTGACGTTTGGTTCATAGGTTCAGAATTATAGTTTATGATTCTAATTTTTTAAATTTAAATTTTTTGTGAGAGAAAAACATTGTAATAGAATTATGAACCATGATCCTAAATCATGCATAACCATTGAAACAAACGTCACCTTAGTCTATCTCAAAATAAATTATAATTGCCAAAAACAGAGATAAAAAACGTATATAACATATTCATCTAACACACCATCTATACTAAAACAGATAAGTAGTTACTTAGACTAATCAGAGTTAGGCTTAACCATCATATGGTTAAAGAGGACTTTAGTTATAACAGATAGGTTGCAGTCCTAACTATTACTAACTTAACTAAAATATCAGCTACCATAATATAGAGTCAGAAATCCAACAAACTCCACCTTGACTCTGATTTGATAGTGGATTAAACTACGGTATCAAGCCTATCGGCATTGATCTCTCTGCTACCACCACAAACTCTAAAAAAAATTTCATAATTAAAACTTCATCACATATGTCGCACCGCGAACTTTTCAGGCTATACCAAATAGAATTCAAGTCCTTGTACTCTAATACGTTTCTCTTACGCCTTTTTTCCCCTTTCATTTCTTTTTTTTTTTAAATTTACATAACTATTATTTTAAATAGATCACGCGTGTGGCTTGAAATCATTTTTTTCAATTATTATTATTATTATTAATTATTATGTTTATTTATTTATTTTTAAGCAATTTTTAACACCATCTTCTCTCTTCATTTTTTTAAAAAAATTTATAATTGTTATTTTAAGTTCCCCACGTGCTAAAAACTAATTTTAAAAAATAATAATTTATAAATCTGCTATTTTTAAATAAATCACGAGCGCATGGCGCGCCAAAAACTATTAAAGAGAAATAGACATGTGCCCGTTTAGTTGATATGCTCATCTTATGAATTACAAATCTTTTTGTTACGGTATATTACAAGCGGTATTTTCCCTTGTAATTAAATTGCTGTTTTAACTTTCCATTTGGCTAGAAGATTACTCAGGTTTGTGAGCGTCCTATACTGCTTTCCTAAAATCACATGGCGAAGTTAAATGTTAAATTAATGACTGTTTAATTCGTTAATTTAAATTTTTAATATATGAGAATTTTTAATTATAATAAAAAAATTAAATGTAAATATTTTTAAAAATTATTTACTTTAATAAAATTCGAATTCATGAAATAAACAGAACTTAAAATTACTTTGAGCGTTAAGTCTTTATTCCAGAGACACAATAACAAGATAATAGTCGTTTCCATAAATATTATTTTATTCGACTCTTCTTTATATTTTATCTTATTTTATTTTAATTGAATTCTCTAGTTTTTATGAAACGAACATGATATAACTGGTTGCGGAATTTATCAACTCGCAAGGGGAAGAGAGTGGGAAAGACAGAAAGAACTAACCAAAGTATATGCAACGAAATGATAAATGCACCAGAACAAGTATTTTTCGTGGTAAACTTCTAAGCGAGAGTGTGGATGAATCGTTTGCTCGACTTGAAGTTCCTTGCACCAACTTTAAAATGTTTTCTTTTTCAACAACAAAAAAGCTTAAAGAAATGCCTATATAATATATATATATATATATATATGCTAGAGTTTTACAAAGAACAAGCAGAATAGCTGGTAATTAAACAATTAATACCAATTTTTTTCTATTATAGGCTTGCAGGGAGGGGAGTAACAACAAAATACGAGGCAAAAAAAAAAAAAAAAAGAGTTACTGATGTAAAGAGCATTGATGCTCGTAAAGAATCAGGTTAACCTACAACAACAGACTTACAAAGGAGGATAGAAATATGAGGACAAGGAAAAGCCTAAGAAGAGCAAGCCTCCGATTGTAGCAACTGTGCCTTGGGAGATTTTAGATGCCAGCATGCTCCCACCAACCACGGCCAGTGATGTACAAATTGTGTGGCCTATTGTTGCCCCTACCGCAACCCCGATTGCATTTTTGTGTGTTGCCAGCTGCAAGATCAAAGTTACTACCGTCAAATGGCAACCGGAAAAAAAAAACCCATGTCATATAAGGCAATAGGATTACTTTGTTCACTTACAGCGATTGTTGCTATTTGGCTGCGATCACCCCACTCTGCTAGAAATGTTAGGATAAAAGACTGCATGGAGTGAAACAGGGAATTTTCAGCCGTGATTCTTGTTAATATGCAAGAAAAGATATTGTAAAGACTCGAGTTCATTCTCGTATTAACGAGTTGTTTAAGAATGTATTCATCGTGGCAATAAGTATCGAAAGATTGACTTAATCAGAACCATAAAAAAGAAGGGGAAAAAACAAGAAAAAGAAAAGGAAATGGAAACAGAAAAGGCATACCTCCAAAAATATTGGCGTACAAAATCTAGAAAAGAAGCGACGAAAGGATGTCTTGGATTGTCCAAGTTTCTCCTCCACCTAATATAGAGGATGTTTGTTAAGCAAAATTGGGACAGCAAAAATAAGAAGAACAAAGCTTGAGTCATATGGTGGTTCAAATCAATTTTTCAACACTTCAAAGTAGAGAAAACAATACTAGAAAATTTTGAAACTAAGATTTGAATAAAAAACGCACTTCTTCCATTTCTTTTTTCTGGGAACCTTTAGGATCTGATCTCCAAGCAATGTACAGCAACCGCAACCCGAAAAATGCATAAAGAACTGCATATCAAAGAGGGACTTTAGCTCACAATAACCATGTGCCATGAGCCAAACTAGTCATGGTATTTCTTTCCCAAACAAATTGGATAACACAATCATCTAAAGAGAACTCAAACCAAGAGTCTTAAGAGAGCCCCAAGCAAGTGGATAGCTAAGGATGATTATAGAATTGAGCAAAAGAAGTCGTGGAAAGTTGCAGCTAACTAAACGGAATAAATTGCTTGGTGGCGCTCTATGAGAAGGAAAAGAATTGATAAAATACCTGTAGCTGCGCTATTTGTGTGCTTTCTTGAAATCAAATTTGGCACGATTCTACCCAATCCAGTTGAAAGTACCTAATAGACATGCACAAATATTTCCTATTGAGAGTAGGAATAAAGGCACCAAGCACTTTGTAGTTGCGAAAAACATTTCATCTTGACCTTATGTGAATACATGTGTTATTTACCATGAAAACGAACAGGAGTATATATACAGAATCATATGATGCTTGTTACAAAGACAAATAGAAATCAGTTAACTTACTGTCATTACAATCAAGGCAGTGAGAGCACCAGATAAAACAATTGACTTTGGGTGGCGCATTGCCATAAGCGCTGCAATGATAAATGTCTCATCTCCAATCTAGTAGAACCATTGTCAAAGCAGTAGAAATATCAAATAAAAGTACAGTTGAAAAGGCAACAAAAGAAAACCCATCTTATGGTAAAACCACCTAAAGGAAAACCACAAAGTAACTTGACCATTGTTTGGTTAGATGAAGCGAACAAAGTATACGGAAATATTCACTATCTTAATGAAGTTATATATATCTTGTGACTTAGGAACAAGCCTGGTGAGAAGGCCTCGCCACAGACAATAATCTGCCAAGTGAAAGGGTAATGGCGTGGTAATTGGAGTAGCAAAATGACAAACCTCACTGACTAAAATCATTGAAAAACTTGCAAAAAACGCGTCGAAAATTCCAAGACCAGAGTCCAAGCTGACACCAAAGCCAGCAGAATCGGCGTCATTCTTCTCTCCAACAGCAACCCTTTCCAGGCTACTTAAATTAATCTGTACGGAAATTGAGACTGCTAAACAACAACATTCAAAGGAACAAACTAAATTCGAAAAGCAGTATAACTGGAAATATAACAATCTATCGAACCGCATTCCTAAAGAACAATTCTTTAAGGATCAGTCAAATAAACAAAATAATCCTAAATTGGTTGGGCACCTCGAATCCCCTATATGACTAGTGAGAGATTGTTATCATCAGATGATTAGAATACCCAAAGCAGCAAATTTCATGAATTACGTGAATTAGTCTTTTCCGAGGTAGCTAAAATATGTCAAAATTTGAACTCATTTCTGGATCTAACTCATATCTGGAACTAAACTAAGCCTAGCTTGGGCTAGGTTAAGGTCTTTGAAGATAGTTTCTATTTCTAATAAATGGTTAATTGAGCTTTTCCGCACAATTAAGGAAAACTCACCAAATAAGCATCTTTCTCTATATTTCTTCTATATCTTCCAAAAGAAACAAACAAAATCTCTAGAGAGAGAGAGAGAGAGAGAGAAATAGCAATTTTACAGACCTTGCTGCGACGGCCCAGATCTTTGGATCCACTGGATTCTTCCCTCTCAGCTTCGTCCACAAACTCCTGTAATTTGCTTAATTAATACAAATACAAACATACACACATAATTTCCCAATCTGTGAATGTGAATCTACATAAAAACTGGAGAGAGAAAGAGATAGACTTGAGCGGAGGCTGTGAAGATGAAAAGGAGGATAAGGAGGAACACGGAGAGAGAACTCATTCTTGGTTCCTTTAATCGCACGCCCATTCTTCAAATTCCGGAATCTGCAACTCTGTTTGGTTGACGAGAAAAGGTCTGGGAAAATTTTTTTAGGCGAATCGGATCTGAATCGAGATTTGGAGATCCAAATTGAGCCCCCTTTTAACTCCGGTTGCACAGAAAAATGGGGAATTTCTGAGATCTTAGAGAGATCTTGCGTAGAGCGAAGATCTCTAAAAAGCTGCAGTGCTAAGAAGTTTCCATGTAAAAAAAAAACTGGAGGTCCAAGGGGGTGACCTTTCAGCTCCGTGTCGAAGCTTTGACCGTACTAAACAAATGGCAAAAAAAAAAATTTTTTTTTGAGTGAAAATATTTCGGGATTATTCTTTTAGAGTGTAATTTTTAAATTAAATTTGAGTCATAATTTAAGTTGAAGTTGTAGCTTAAATAAAATTAAGTGAAGTTAAATAAAATTAAAACTTAAAAAAATATAAATTTAAATAAAATTAAAACTCAAATGATCTTTTTTTAAGTTTTTTAAATAAAAGAATATGCCCTTCATTTTTCAATTGAATACTTTTTTTGATAGAAAATTTAGTTGCAATAATTGAGGTTTCTATAATAGTGTTATATTTTTTTTTACAGCATTGATGACAAAATGTGAAAGGGTGTTTTATAAATGGTAATAATTATTACACTAAATAATGGGATATAATTATCAGAAATAATTATAAAATAAAATTTATGATGGCTGGTAATTAGTATAATTGTAGAAAATCTAATAGTCACACAATAGAAAGTAATAAAATTAGTTTTATTTTAAAATTGATACTTTAAAGAATAAATTCTCTCTGCTAGATGAAAAACCGCATTTGTTTTCTGAGAGTAATTATCATGAATTTGTCATTTTGAAACTTTAGGATTAGTTCTTTCTAAATTCTACGCAATCCAGAAGAGGAGCTTTTTTTTTTTTTTTAAAGGTTTTTTCCTGAAATATTATAATGTATAAATATATTAATATATATTTTTCTTTCTAAGCTGTCGGCAACGTAACTCAATGCCCACAGCTCATACTTTCTCAAAAAAAAAAAAAAAAAAAAAAAAAAAAAAAAAAAAAAAAAAAAAAAAAAAAAAAACCCCACAGCTCACACCAAATGGGCAAACCCAACTTCCTCTACAGCCTTGTTCCACAAGCCCAACTGTGATTTGAATAAGAAATTTCTTCTTTGTTGAATAAATTTGGTTATATCTCCGAGTTATTTTCTGCTTCTTAAGACTTTCTCGGTTTATTTTATTTTTGTTGCTTATTTTAAAAATGTTCTTTGTACTATCATATATCATTTTAAAAAACTTTCTAACCCCTCTATCATTTGGCCTCGAGACCAATATGTGATGATTTCCAGCGTCATAAACGATGTGGTTTGAGATGCGCCCGATATGGTGTTAAGGATTACTATTTTTGTGTGACGATAGTGTTATGGGATTCTCGACATCACTTAATAAGATATTAATTGATTATTAGGTAGGGTGTTATACATCGTCTTAGTCGTGGATGTTCATTTGTGGGTCATTTGTGGGGATTCGACTTTTACATCCTCTTAGTCGTGACTCTTTTTATGTCTTTTCGATAAAATCATAACACATCAATTAAAATATTATGTCAATTACACAACGTGACACTTTTTCTCTCTTTGAATATGAATGATCCTATTTATAATCAAGCATATCAATTATAAAGCAAACGGTGCTCTCTACGAAGTATTAAATATATAACGGTTAATATAACTCATCTATAGAAAGGAACTCAACATGTGCAGTGTCACGCAAATTCATACTCTCAACTAGGGCTGTAAGAAATCACTCCGAACCCGACGAATCCGGCCGAGCTAAGCCGACCTTACTCAAAAATTACGGGTTTCTAATTTTTTATTTAATTTTCAATTTTAATTATGCCCAACCCGCACTGTGCGAGTAGGAGCGCGGGGTGGGGTTCTATGAACCCGAGGTACCCCTACCCGTCCGAACATGTTCAAAAAGTAGGTAAAACAATGTCCAACCCTAATGCTAATAAGTTTAAAAATCTTCCGAACACAACATAAAGGGTTGAGTCTTTAAATAATTCTTGTTTAGGATGAGTGTAAAAATTGAGTCTTAGATGAGGTAAGTAACAAAAATAAGTTAAAAAATGGTTTTTTTTTTTACAAAAAAACTCATAGTTTACCCTAGGTAAGCCGCCCAACCCGAGGTTACCCGAATGGTATACGGGCATCCTAATTCTACAAGTTGTTGCGGCCCAAATCATTCCCAACCCAAGACCTGTGGGCCGGCCCAATTCTTTTTCAAAACCGACCCACCCCGGCCGACTTACAGGCCTACTCCCAACGGTAAAGATTCGTTGCCCCGTATTGTGTCTTCAAACCATGAATTCACATTCATTTGGTCAAAATTGAACTAAAAAAGATCCACTAGTTCGATCCTTTGAGAATCAGCTTGACATATTATCCTCCGTGCGTTGGTTGGCCATTAAAATGAGCCTCTTTTATCACAAAAACTCCAAAAAGTGGTTTTCCTTTGGTCCCAAGTGGAATGGATCCAAGGAAGTTTCATATCTTATGGTGCAATTTATGTTTTTCCACTTTCGAATCCTCTCACCCTAATATAAAGAAGAAACTTTATTTTGTCTAATCATGCTGTTATCATATGAGAATTCTCTCTCCACTTCCCTTGAGAATTCTCTCTCCACTTCCCTTAAAAGGGAAGGAAAAAAAAAAAGTCAATCTCTCCGCACTCAAATCTTTATTTTTTATTATTTGTATATTTATGGCTGATTCACCCAATATTCAAAAAACAAAATACACGTGCCGAACATGGCATAGCAAAAAATAAAATATAATCCTAAGGGGTGAAAGGACGAATAGGAAAGCTCCACGTGTACGGATAAAATTACTTGTCTTTTGATTGCTTGGAAAGTTCCCGCTTCCCCCCACAGAAGAAAAGATGCCCAAAAAGGGGTGGTGAAATAAGGGCCAACCCCCAAAGTCCTTCATCCACCTACTCCCCACCCATTAAAGATTTAGAGACAGGACAGAGCAGAGCAGAGCAGGCGAGGATCCGGCACTTCTAACATTTCATCGTCATCATCAAAAACACCCACCCTGCCCTTCACACGCGTCCTCCATGAAACGGGATCCTCGTGTAGCCACCAAATTTTCTTTATTCTTCCACTTGCTTTTTCCACTATTTTATGTTGTTTTTAAGGTTTGATTCTCATAACACGAAATTTTTTAGTTATAAATTTAGATCTGGTTCATTTTACCGATTCAAGTTTAGAATTTAAGTTTTGTTACAGTAAAAAACTCTCAGAAACAATCACATTTAACTTTTTTACTACAGTAAAAAACTCTCACATATAGTCACGTCTCAACTTGAATCAGTGATTAAACATGCCTTTAAATTCATGATTTTAATTCTGTTATAATACTTTTCTCTCACAAAAAATTTAAATAATAAAATTCACATTAATTTGTTATTTTATAAAATTTAAATTTAGAATCAGAATTACTCACTTTATTAGTAAATGAGATAAATACTCGATACACATCATTTGGTTTTTAGTAGGCAATAATAGGCCAATATGCACACACTTCAATCATCTAATTGGACGCATATTTATTTTTTGTATCAAAAGCTATATCTTAAGACCTTAACCATATGAATTGCGATGCTTTCTAGTACATCAACTACATTAAAATAATTTATACAACTGTTTGAGCCACCACGAGTAATATAACACAAATCTTACTCCCCCATCATAATCATCTTAAAAGTAGACAATCATTGTACACGAAAAAAGGAGGGGGAAGAAAAGAAGTCCAAACTCGAAAATCAATAATATATGTTGGGCATAAAGTGAGAAATTGGCATTTTGTTCGATTAGGAGGTAGAGCCTAGATAGACACTTAAGGGATTATTTAGTACATATACTCAAAATTTAAATCATGATTTTATTATAATGTTTTTCTCTCATAAAAAATTTGTATAAAAAATTCTCTTTAATAATTATTTTACAAAGAATTTGAATTAAAACTTAAATCATAGTTCAAATGCACTTTCCAAACATGCTCTTAAAAAAATGTCTGTTCACTTCGCTGATTCGAGTTTATAATTCGAGTTGAGATGTGATTTTGTGTGAGAGATTTTTACTGTAGCAATAAAGTTAGATGTGACTGTTTCTGAGAGTTTTTTACTGTAACAAAACTCGAATTCTAAACTCGAATCGGCGAAATGAACGGGTAAATTTTGTTAAATAGTACATTCCTTCTTATGGATTGCACTGTTCCATTCACCAAAAATTGACCATTTAATTACTGCATTGGCTTTTAGTCGAGCCAACAAAATGAGTCAAACAAATTGGGACACTTAAAGAATTTTGCGGGGGTAAAGTTTGTCACACTATAACAAATCCAACCAAGCACACAAAAGTACATAAACAATAGCAGGAGGGACCCATCAAGCCACATTTCTCTTCTAAAAATAGTGTCGTATTTTGGGAACAAGGAACTATGAAGTGCATTGACCAATAATATCTAATTTTTTAATGGATTAATAGTATATTATGCACTAAACAAGTTTGTAAATACCTAAGGTGACAATACTTTAGACGCGTTTGTAATTCGTTTTAAAATGATTTTATTTTTTGTATGAAAATAAAAATAAAAACGTTTTCACTCATACAAAAATTATTTTTAAAAATACGTTTGATAGTTTTATCAAGAGATTATTTTCAGTATAAAAAACTCATTAATGTCTCTCTCTCTGCTAGAGAGAAGAAAATGAAAATAAAAAATAAAAAACGACTAAAAGTCATTTTTCATTTTTTTCTTATTTGACACTAAACTAAAAAATTATTTTTATTTATATTTTTTGTCTTTATTTCGCCAAACGCCGTTTTAAAAATATTTTCACTTTTTCTTTCTTAAAAAACATAAAAAATAAAAACTTGGATAAATTCCGCACACGACATTTGTTTCAAAATGTGCTGACATTTTTTTTAGAAGTATTAAATGCAGCATTAATATAACCGGCAGAAAAGAATATTTTATGTTAATGACTGTCAAATAGAAATGGAGTATACAACACATAGCCACATATACGCATGGTTATTTTATTTTAAATTTAAAGAGATAGATTTAAACTACATATTGTGATAAAATCAAGCTGTTTTATCGTATATAGTTGTAATTATAGGTGTCTCAGATTGGTGTATATTTTTGCTTTATTTTTTTAGCGTGTTGTATATTTTTACTTTAAGTCGTGTACAAATTCAAATTTATATCGAATTGTAAAAACATTTTTAATTAAGAAAAAGCAATGAAGAAAGTTTGCATTTCTGATGGAGTTATAAAAAAAAAAAAAAAAAAAAAAATTCTTAATTTTGCCTCAGTCGGTAATGGGTATCAAAGGAAAAATAGAAAAAAGAAACTGTAGTTAGTGGAAAGTTTATATCCCATTAAAAAAAAAAAAAACTAGAAATAGTAAAAGCAGTTATACGAAGAAGTCCGAGCTTATGATAACCGGTTGCGAAACTATAAAAGTCGCAGCGCGGAAACCAAAAATCACTCGCCCTATGGACACACCACGTGTCTAATAATAAATCCCACTTGCACCGACGTCAAATGTAAAAGCTAAAGTACAAATAAGCAAAGCCGCAAGGTCACCAACAGCAGAACGTGCGCGTATGAGGGAGCGAGTAGTAGAGTAAGCAGGAGTCGAGAGAGTGGGAGGGGATTTAAACGGCGTCGTTAGTTTTAGCTCCAAAACGCGGGTGTAAAAGCAAAGAAAAAAAATAATAATAACAGATGAGAAAGTCTTCTGTTGTGTCTGCTTGTTTTTGTTTTTGTTTTTGTTTTTTTTTTTTGTTTTTTTTTTTGGGTTTTGTTTGAGGGAAAGATCGTTTGGTTGGTTTTTATTCCCCCTTCCTCGTTTGTGGAGGGGAGAACCCACCGCTCTCTCTCTTTCTCTCTCCAAAAACTCGCACTTTCTCTCTCTAAAAAAACACACACAGACGGACGCACTCTCTCTCTAGAAAAAAACTCTCTGAATACTCTCTCTCTCTGCGAATTTTCCTTGTTTGGCTTTGATCGTTGATTTTGAGGAAGAGAGAGGCGGCGATTTTGGCGGTCGGCGGGGAGAGAATGGGAATCGCGGCGGTTTCGCTAGAGTGACGGTGCGGGTGATGATGGATGTATGGAATTCGATGCTGGAATTCCGATGTCCCTTGCGGCAGTGACCGAGCTGAGGGAGCTGTCACCGTCGTTTAGCCAAGGTCTGTTGTGTGTGTGTGTGTGTATATCTGTATAGATTGCTCAGACATATACATATTTTTCCTTCTCTTTTTCTTTCCTGTCTCATTGTTTTCTTTGGTTCTGTTTTGTCATTGTTCCCGTTGTCTTTTCAAAGCCAATGACGGTTTGGTTTCAGACGTGAGTCGTCTATTTTGCCCTCTCATCTTTCCGATTTCCGTTCGATCACTGCTCGACTACTCAAATTCGTAATCCATTGTTGAGCATTTGTTTCTAATCGTACGTGATGAACAAAATTGTGTTTCTTGTTTTGTAACCGACACTTCGCATCTCTTTTTTTTTTTTTTTAATATTGTAAATTATAAATTGTTTTTTATTTTTATTTTTATTTCTGTTTTCTCGCTCATATAAACTGGTATCTCTAATTCTGAGGCAGAAACAATTTTTCGAATTGGTCAATAAATGCTGTGTGTGCGTGTGTGTGTGTTTTTTTTTTTTTTTTAAATAGATCGTAGGTTTTTCAAAATTAAATTACCCAGGTTTGATTAACAGACATTTAAGGTAAGTTATGACTTCACCAAGGTTGCCGCTCAGAAGAACCTTGAAAGTTGAAACTAAGTAGAAAATCAGGAATTCTATGGTGAATAATTTTAGCGTTACCTTCACAGCAACTGAAGAAACATAAGCTTTAATGGCACAGTTGGGCAATCAATGCAAACCAGTTTTCGGGGAATTTATGCCTCTTTTGGGTCGGTTTAATACTTAACCATAACTTTGAATTTATGCTTTGGTTTTCTCATTATTGCTCGGCGAAGTTAATGTTTCATATGATCAATGAGTTCTTGTACTACTGGATATGTTTCAAATTTTTTCCAGCACATGTTCTGGTTTAGGATTTTGTGGTCCAATAACAGGTAAGTGGTGTTAAGTCCAGGTTACAATTACTTCTCAGAGGTATACATAGGTAAAAAATAAAAAATAAATAAAATAAATAAAAAATTGGCAAGTAATAGTGATTGTGGAGGTACTGGATCCGTCTGAAGTAGGCTTCTTACTTTGCTTTCGGATCGGCTTCTTTGTATATACAGTGAAGTTTTCTATCCATTGTTACTTTCAGATGCAATTTGGCAAATGAATTTGAGATCAAGTGAAACAATGGAATCTGGGACCTATCCTGAGCGTCCTGGAGAACCAGATTGTTCGTATTATATCAGAACAGGCCTCTGCAGATTTGGGGCAACCTGTCGCTTCAATCATCCACCAAACAGGAAGTTGGTATAGCTCTAGCATCATTCCCACGAGTTATATAAACTAAAGATCTAATTATGAACGATTAAATTGAATGATATTGTTGCGTTCTCATTCTCAAGTTTGGACTTTCTTAGAATTTATTGGGCTTTAGTGCTAGATGCAGTAAAGGTTGCAATAAATTCTTTTTGGTAATTTTTTTTTATTGCTTAGAAATGTTTTCTTTTTCTGGTAATATCCGTTATACATAGATAGGTGATAGGTATGTATGTTTATACGTAGCTTCATATGTATAATTGTGTTTTATGTATATAAATACATGCGAAAATAAATATTTATTTATGTAAATACATTCATACATACTTGAGTTGTCAGGTTTGATATTGTCATCTTGAAATCATAATGGAAACAATCAGCCGGATTGTTCTGGTTGTTGGCAGGCTATTGCTACTGCAAGGATGAAGGGTGAGTTCCCAGAAAGAATAGGACAACCTGAATGTCAGGCATGTATTTTTACACTTGCTCGCCTGAGATTTTCTTATCACGTTCACATTGGCATTATTTGGGATACTGTATTCTGACGGGAAGGTTGGTTTGTGTCGATATCATTTTTGTTTAGAAACCTAATTGTATTCCGATTCTAAAGCTAGGTAGTCATTGAAAGTCCATGCTAAATTTTCTTGTTTTCTTTTTGGGGCGGTATTTGCTCTCTGCGTAGACCGTTATAGAAGTCAAGGTGGAAGCTGAACATAGGCTATCTTTTGTTAAAGGCAGCTTTATGATTATTGTGTAGTAGTGGCTTTTTACTTGTAACTTTTTTACCTGTAACTTTCCTTTTTCATAAGGATGTTTTTCTCTCGGAGTTTTTTGGATGGCACACTAATTATTTTTTTAAAGCTTCTCTTCAGTACTACCTAAAGACGGGTACTTGCAAGTTTGGAGCGACATGCAAGTTTCATCATCCAAGAGACAAAGCAGGGATTGCTGGAAGAGTGTCATTAAATATTTTAGGATATCCGCTTCGTCCGGTTCGAATTTGTTATTTGTTCCTTCTCATACAAGTGTTTAATAGGTTTCTTAAATATTTTGTTCATTTCTTGTTTAACGATAGCAAGCTCCGTCCTATAAGAAAAAATAAAAAAACCATTTTTCAACAATAAATGGGTATATTTTCTTGAAAAGGAAAAAAAAGGACGAAAAGAAAACCGTGTGCAGGCATGTTCTAGACTGCAAGGAACTATCATGTATAGCTTGACTGTTGCTTTTTGTGAGTTTATCTGCTTCCTAGGTTCATTGAAATAGATTATTGTTTTTTCTTTCTTTATTTCTTACAGAATGAGATGGAATGTGCATATTATTTAAGAACTGGGCAATGCAAGTTTGGGAGCACTTGTAAATTCCACCATCCACAGCCAACTAATATGATGGTTTCAATGCGTGGTTCCCCTGTTTATCCTACTGTCCAATCTCCAACCACTCCTGGTCAACAATCATATATTGGAGGGATTACAAACTGGTCGAGAGCGTCTTTTATTCCTAGTCCGCGATGGCAAGGTTCCTCAAGTTATGCACCTATGATTCTTCCTCAGGGAGTGGTATCAGTTCCAGGCTGGAATACCTACAGTGTAAGTTTTAGTCCATACTTTTTTTTAATGCATTGATGTGCAGTCCATTCTTGGTGAGGTTTACTGAGAAGTTAAATTAAGCATCGTTGGTTTTATTCCTAAAATCATTAATGCAGAGTCTGTACAGGAAAGATAAAGTGGAAATGTTGCATGGTACACGGATTGTGCACTTGCATCTTCTCAATGGGTTCATTCTTCTTAGCTAATTAAGGGAATCTTTAATGATCATGTCTGAGCGGACAATCTTAGGCCTTGTTCATTTCACCGATTCGAGTTTTCAGTTTTAGGTTTCTACAGTAAAATGCTCTCAGAAAATGTCACATCAAAATTTTCTGCTACAGTATAAAACTCTCATAAAATGTCACATCTCAACTCGAATTAAAAACTCGAATCCGCGAAGTGAACGAGGCCTTAGTTTTCTATTTGCTCGGTAGATGACTTAAACATGAACTTTGAGCTATCTTTGCACAAGTTTCTAATCAATTATGGCATCTTTGCAAGATTCTAACTTGACATGCCAGAAGTAATCTTATAGTGTTATGGGAAAAGTTTCTTTTCAATTTATGTTCATTCAAATCATATATTGTAGTGCTCTTAGAGCACTGAAATGTGTAAACATGCTTAATATATTGCAATTTTTCCAGGGTCAGCTGGGGTCAGTTTCTTCCCCAGAGAGACAGCAACCATCAGGTAGTAGTCAGATTTATGGAACTTCACGTCAAAGTGATCCGGCAAATACAGGATCTCAAGGGACACTTTCTCCATATCGTTCCGGCTCTATACCTGTTGGTTTCTATGCCTTACAGAGGGAAAATGTATTTCCTGAGAGAACAGGCCAGCCTGAGTGCCAGTTTTACATGAAAACAGGAGATTGTAAGTTTGGGGCAGTCTGTAAATTTCATCATCCTAGAGAGAGACTAATTCCTGCACCAGACTGTCTCCTGAGTCCAATGGGCCTTCCTTTACGCCCGGTTAGTGTTTTTCTTTACCATTTTTAGGATCTTTCGTATTTTCCATGATGTGATTATTAATAGAGCTTGAAAACACATACCACGCCTTCTCAAAAATGAATTTGATATGCAAGTCTAATACCATCCTCTTCCAGGTTGAGATAAGAGCGTCCTATCTTTTCTTTTTTCTCTTTTAACTTGATCATAATGATCATATAGGCATTTTTTTATAGATAGATCTCTAGCCATTAGCGTGTGGATGGAGTGGTTTTATGAACTCTAATTTCTTGTTTCATTGATATGCATATTGTTTCAAGCTGTAAATCTTTGGATAATTTGGATAAATAATGAACTTGATGTATAATTTTCAACAGGGAGAACCTTTGTGCATCTTCTATTCTCGTTATGGTATCTGCAAGTTTGGTCCAAGTTGCAAGTTTGACCATCCGATGGGAATTTTCACTATTAATCTCTCTGCAACATCTTCAACCGATACCCCAGTGCGGCGTTTGTTGGGGTCATCATCAGGAACCACTGCATTAAATTTATCTTCTGAAGGACTTGTTGAAGCAGGATCAACAAATCCTCGGAGACTTTCACTATCAGAGACCAGACAGATGCCTTCTGGCGATGATAATAATACTGATACAGAGGACTGAAACCTGCTCTCAAGAAAGGAGCCATTTACGTTTGCAAATCTTTTGGGAGCTGAACAGAAGTTATGTAAATTCATTTCCAATTATTGGAGATGTACAGAGTTCATATAAAGTCAACCCGGTTCTTCTGAAAATGTGTTTCAGTTGACATACTCGATTTACTGAATTTTTCTTATCTCTGCATTGTATAAAAAGTATGCAAATATTGTCACATTGGTAAAATCCAATGTGAACATTTTCATCTATTCCAAAAGCCAATTCTCTGATTTTTGTGATTATTTTCCTTAATTATATATAAAACATTTGTTTTCCAAGTTTTTATGGTCAGTCTTGCTTTACAGTGAATCTTAATTCATCCTCCAGTCCCAGGTTTGAAAATTTCTTTCAATGTTCAAGCTTTTCTCATAATGGTTAGACTGCACTGCATCAGTTTTCATTAACTTTCTATTAGTTAATTTTATGTTTCATTGCTTTTGTTTGCTGTCTGTTGGAAAATTTTATTGTAATTGGCTTGAATACAATAGAGTTTTGCATAGGGTATTTGTGGTTTCTGCTTTTAGAAAGTTGTTATTCATATATTGACAATTTTGTTTCTCTTAACTATTTTTGGTTGGCTAGTTTTTTTTTTCCCCTGCAGAAGTCAATCTGGGCCGACTTCTGGTTCTAATGATACGCACGTGAGACGGCAGGTACCATGATATGTTCCTCACGTTCTCTCTTCTCACCAGAAGATATCATCAAAATTTCGAATGAATACAAAACTGTTCGACGTGATGTTTCCTGAACATGTATGTTTCAACTACCTGGATGTAAGCGTTTACTGCACCAAAGATTTAGTTCTTCGAATTTAGATCTTTAGAAAATAGCAGTTTGCTCGCTCATCTTGCTGTGCATTTCATGATATTTTCTCGAAGAAGTTATAGCCGGTACCAAAAAACTTATGTGTTTTTTAATGTATGAGACTCCATTGAATTGTGGGACTATTCTGTCAGCAGGCTTTGCTCTTTTATAGCATACCTAATACCGTGTTCTTGATTTTCTTGTGTTGCATTCTTCTTAGTCTAAAAAAAAAAGTTTTTCTTCTTTTTCAAATTAAAATATAATGGAGGACCAAATTTATTTGTAAGACCACTATACATATGTATGTATATACACGTGGTTTTTTTTTTTTTTCATTATTTTCATTTCTATGCTCTTATTCAACGTGGTAGAGATTTTCCTTAAATAAATATTCGGATTCTAGTTTAATCATGTTGCTGAAGTGTGTCCTTTAGCTTTATTGGATTCTACAGAAGGGAATTGTTTTTTCTTTTCCTCTTTTTCTTTTTTTGTTTTTTGCCATGATACAGAAGGGTAATTGTTTAGTTGATTCCGTCGAAGTTTGGATGTCATTTTTTTTTCTGGAGTGTGGACCAATATAACAGAAAAAACAAGAGGAAGAAAACAAAACAGGATGAAAACGACAATAAAAGCATCCAGTCCTGACCAATCTCAGGTCCAGAGCTTCATCTACCACGTATTCTTGATGTTTTATGGAAGGTTAGAAACCCCAAACTTGCTACCAACACAATTGTCATTGCCCCCAGCTGCTACTATTGCCTTTTAGGACAAGCAACGGCTTGTCTTTTACGAGGTAATTATGTTACACATGGGTAATAGGTTGATGGTAAATATGTACTAAATTGAGATTTGTTTGTGCCTTTTGTTCTTGCCTCGTCTTAGGACGAAAGTTGATTCTGCCTTTTGTTCCAAGTGAAGGCCATTTCCCACTTAAACTTAACAACTAGAGTTTCATACATTCTCTTGTATTAAGCAAATTTCAAGCAGTGTGATTCGTAAAATTTTCTATTTGAGAAGAGAATTTTTAGTTTTCGCTCTCATTTGAAGCCAAATGAGAGCTTTTTTAAGAAACACAGCGGTACCAAACTGACCCTCGAGAGAATCGGAGATAAGACGAAAATCTCAAAATTTCTTAGAGAAGGACTTCAAATTTTGAGGGATCTAAATTCAGGGAAAGATACATATGGGGCTTGAGAAAAATTGGAATGATGAAATGTGTACCACTTTATGGCCTCGTGGCATTAGTCTTCACTTCTCAAGCCCACTTGTCTGTCTCTGCGATTGATCTAAAATCTAATAGATTGGACCCTTATTGTATGCTCAATCTTTTCTTTTTCTGCCGTTCTCTCTTTTTTCCTTCTAGTTCCTAACTTCTATGTCTCATTGCGTTGAATCGTCAAAAAGGGTAATAGATCAAAAACCGTGATTCAAAGTAGAGTCCAATGAGATAATAAAGAGAAAAGGTGCTTCAGAAATTGGACGCACATTATTCAGCTCAAAACTTTTTCTTTTTTGCGCCAATAGAGATTATATGAAGCCACTTTCTTTTTCTCTTCTTATTATCAATCAGACCAACTTTAGCAACGGCGTGTGCCTCTCTATTAGTCAAGCTAATACTATCCAAAAACTTGGGGGTATCTGAAGACAATGAAATCTGAACCAACATCTTGTTTTGGTGAAGGGGATTCGAATCTAGAATTGCAGATAATACCGACACTTACCAAATAGTTCTTTGTCCAAATGTAAAAGTGAAACTGAGGAAAATAAATATGTTGGCTCTGTTAATATTAAATATCCATGTTATGATATTCACAAATAACTTGATAGTGGGGATATAGATGATACTGCCCTGCCGCACAATTAATAAATACAATGAAAACAACACATCTGTGCCACGTGGCGTTGGCATTTTCAATTTGCAAGCTGGGTGTGTTGTGTAGTATTACAGTGATTCACATTATGACAATCGCACAAATTAGAGTGGAGGGGCCATATATGCCCTTAATATTCAGCTCCACAGGGACATAAGTGCGAAGGAAAAAGAAAAACCCTCTTCATTATTCTCTCTTCAGCCTCTTTATTTCTCTTCACACACAAACTTCTCCTAAACCAAAACCCCACTTCATTTTCCTCTGTCCAAAAGTTAAATGCAAAAAAGCCATTAAATAGATCCCAAATTTTAATTCCATCTACTAAGACCCTTTTTTTAAGGCCTTTTTTTAAAAAAAAAATCTATTTATGAGACAAGAAATAAAAAATCCCTCTAGAAAAGAGCAAGTCCCACAAATTCCCATCAACTTTTGCAACTCAAACACTTGAGCATCAAGTACTAACCATCTCTCAAGAACCATGATGCCTGCATATGGGGTCATCTTTTCTCTCATTTTGCTGCTCTTCTTGGCTACTGTGATTACTACCAAGACTGAAGCAAGTTTGGCCCATGTGAGTGTTTCTCTCCTAAAAAAAAAAAAAAAAAAAAAAAAAAAAAAAAAAAAAAACCCCACCTTTGTTATTGTTTTCACAGATCCCTCTACTTTCCCTTTGTTGTTTAGCTGGTGCATGATTCTTTTTCCCCTTGTGGGTATTCCTTGGATTGAATGTTTATTTTGTGTTTTTGATTCTTGTAGATAAATGGGTCTGCGGCAGTTGCGGCGGAGGAACCGCCATTAGTGCCGCTGGTGGAAGAAGGGAAAATGGAGATGATGATGAATGAGAGCAGAAGAAAGTTGGGAAGTTTCCAGATATGTGCACTTTGTACTTGCTGTGGAGGAGCTAGAGGTGTTTGCTTGCCATCTCCTTGTTGCTATGCCATCAATTGCAACATTCCCCACAGGCCTTTTGGCTTCTGTTCTTTCACTCCCAAGACCTGTAATTGCTTTGGATGCCATCTCTAAAACTCTCTCTCTCTCTCTCTCTCTTTCATCTCTCTGTCTCTCTATATATCTTATCTCCATAATTTATAATTTATATTGTTCAATTTGGTGTTTGGAGAGTGTGAATGGGAAAGAATATCTGTTCTTGATTTGTTTGTTTGTTTATAGCTTATAAAAATTGTATTTTTGTTAGGAGGGGAGAGAGTGCTATCTCCAGGATAGTTTTTTTTTTCCCCATCTCTAGTGGGATTTATCCAAATGATATTTTTTGGGGGCAGGAAAAAAAAATTTTATAGCAATTCCTGGAGATAGCACGATGTTAGGATTAGCATAATTTACGGGTATTCAAGGGGAACATCTTCCTTGTTAGTGGAGCTATTGGAGCTTATGATGATTAATTAACTTTTTTAAAGAATATATTAATGAAAGTTCTGAGTAGAGATGGTGTGACACTCATGACAAAGGATTAAGATTTGAAGTTTATTATTTTAGTCTTGTTTTCTTGCATGTTGAGTTATAAATTTCGTTTTTTTAATTCAAACTAGTGGGTGATATCTATTTGCATTGGGTTGGATGATTTTAATATTGTCGACCATAGTTCGTGTCTTATATAGTTTCCATTATTTTTTTTTTAATCCTGCTTTCACTATCGTTTTGCTGATTCGAGTTTAAAATTCGAGTTGAGATGTGATTTTATGTGAGTTTTTTACTGTAGTAAAAAAGTTAGATGTGATTATTTGTCAAAACTTTTTACTGTAACAAAACTCGAATCAGCGAAACAAACGAGGCTTATATTTTCATTTCACGTTCGGCAGAAAGTGAATTGCTAGCTTGTTATGGTAATGTGGTTTTCTTTGCTGTACTTTAATGCGTTGTACTTTATGCTCCTCCCTTCCAAATATAAGTTTTGAAAATTTAAACAAAAAAAAAAGGAGGGGGGGGGGGGGGGGGGGTCTTATGTCCAGCTATATATCATTGCCACTTGTTTAATTCACGGAGTCTGTGAATTAAATCACCAGTGGAGGTAATACATTTTTTACATGCTATGTCCTGCCACTTTCCTACAGATAATGCACTGATTTGGGTGGTCCCTTGATTTAATAAAATTGGGAACCCTCCATGGTAGAGAGAGAGAGAGAGAGTTGTCTTGTTAGCTTTGTTAAATTACCTTAAATGGGTTGCAAAGCTAATTATTGGAGGAAAAATAAGCCTAAAATAGGTAGATCTTATTTGTTTTAAATAACTTATTGATGCAATGACATTAATGCATGTAGTTGTAGCCAACGCAAATATTAAGGGCGGGTAGGAGTTAGGTGGATGCAATTAAGCCTTAGCTTCTAACTTGCTGCAATTGTTAATGAATATGGTTCTTGAGTAATATTATTTCATTATTTAGACTTTGTATTCATCTGGTTTCAATATAAAAGTTTGCATTGAATACCTTTGTAGAATGCTGAAGATAGCATTTCTCACTTGCCCAAGAGCTTGTTTTGTGTGTGTGTGTGTACAATTATATATATATATATATATATATGTATGTATATATATTTGTATTGGTAGCTTGTGGGGTTTGTGGGGGATTATGGACATGGCGGTAGGGCTTGGTGCCACATCTGAATTTGATATCTTGAGAATAGTGTTTTGGGAATCTCATTGACCCAAGTTTTGTGTGTGATGACAACATGCAGCAACCCATGTGCTGCCCAAAGGACAAATCAAAATCAGTTTTGTGGGCGTTTTTATCCTGCCCTCAATTTATTGTATAACTTCTCTGGCTTGTTTATATCAGGTCATGTTTGATTATTGTGTTTTTCTTTATATATATATATATATATATATTTAAAGAAATGTGTTTCCAAGTATATCAGAGACGGCCAACTTGCCTGTCACAAACTTTGTATCATGCTTGCTTCATATGTTTGTTTTCATTCTAGTCAAAATGCATGTGAAGTTTATATGCAAGCTGCTACCATAAAGTTTGTCACATGATTGATGCTGAAAAGATCTCTCATTAAGACTGGTCCTTGCAAATTCAGGGAAATTTATTTAAGTATGGAACTTGAATAATTAGAGTTATTTGCAATGTTATTGGGTTTTTAAAGTTTGAAAGTCAATAATATGGATTTTATGAAAATAATTGTTACAGGAATATGCAAGCAAGTCCATAATTGAAAGCTGACATTGACTTGGAATTTTTATTAAGGAGAAGGAAAAAAAATAAGATGAAAATTTTGGAAACGGTTGGATGAAATAAAGAATATTATTAATAAGCACACTATTAATGATATTCAAGCAGCTAATGAAAATTAATTGAAGGCATTTATCAGCAATCAGATGCCTTCAATTAATTAATTGGGAGGAAAGTTGTAACTTGTAACGAAACATGAGTATTTTTCTACCAAAAACAAAAAAACAAAATGAGATATTTAAGTGGGTTTTCGGAGCAATTAGTGAGCTCGTGTCAATTGTGATCTGTATAGGGACTGGCATTATCTTGCATGGGTCAACACTCAACGGTCATTTAATCCTTCCCCCCCAAAAAAAAAAAAAAAAAAAAAAAAAAAAAGTAATTTAATCCATCAACTTTTTTCTTTATTCTTAATAGGTAGGTACTAGTTTTCTTTGGAGGGAATTAATGCTTTAACTTTCAAATTTTTTTTAGCTACGCTTTTTGCGAGTCATTTTTTTTAGTTAATGGGAATTGTATACTCATAAAAACGGAATTAATGTGTATGTGTATTTTGTATTTTTGGGTGTGTGTACTTTTGTGGTGTTATGTATTTATATATGTAAATATATATGTATATACATACATATGTGTGTGTGTCTATAATCTATATCTGTGGTGTTATAATGGTTTCTTAGCTTCTACAGCAGGCAAAATCATCAACTCTTGTATACCCCCATGCGTAAACCCAAAAGCAACTGAAGAGGGAGAAAAATGCGTTTGGTAGAGGGATTCATTTTCTGATTCGAATCATGATTCGTGATTTGTTATAGTATTTTCTCTCACAAAAAATACACGTAAATTGAAAATAGTTTGAATCACATGGTTTGAATCATCCAACCAAACGAATAGTTAAAGGCTTGTTAACCTCTAGATTTACTAATTCAATCCTTGAAAACAAAAAATACAAAAAAGAAAAAAGAAAAAAAAAAAAAACCTGAATATGGGTGGGCAGTTCACAATGACATACCGACTATTGACTTTGGTATGTATAATGTATGTGAAAGTGTGAATTAGTTGTAAAGCTTTTTATTTAACCTTAAAGTGGGCGTTGTCAAAAGGTTGTCCCACACTTGTGTTGTACCTCGAAACAAGTGAAATGGGCTGTGACCCTCAAAACTCAAATCATTTTTTATCATACTATTTCCCATCTTCCACTCTCTTGTATCTTTCCACATTTCATATCAATATCACAAATGAACTTTGTTGTCTTAGCCGAATCGTTTATTTTCACCAGAAGACAAAAATTCTGTATAACCTTTTTCCAAGCCTGCAACGTTAAAAGTAATATGACCCCAGTTGCATTTTGCAAGTCGGAGTTTTCAACTATTAATATAAGAAACAAAACTTTGTGGTTGCTCGTAATTTATGATAAACTCCGCACCTTCTTAAATCACTTGAATAGGGAGGGCAATATAAGATAACACGAATAGAAATTGACACAAAAATTACGGGTTAGGATTGAGAAAATAATGACCCGTTCACTTCGTCGATTCGAGTTTTGCTACAGTAAAAAATTATCAGAAACAGTCACATCTAACTTTTTTACTACAGTGAAAAGCTCTCACATAACATCACATCTTAACTCGAATCAACGAACTAAACGGATCCTAAGAGTGCGGGTCGAAATTGAGTCGACTCGAATTGGGTCAGAATCAGGTCAATTTTCGAGTTAAACCTGTACAACTTGAAAACGACATGCAATTCAATTTCGGGTCCAACCAGAAACGAACACTTAGGCGATGTTTGGTAAAGGGATTCGTTGCCTGATTCGAATCATGATTCGTGGTTCGCTACAGTATTTTTTCTCATAAAAAATTCACGTAAATCGAAAATGATTCGAATCACATGGTTTGAATCCTCCAACCAAACGTCCTCTTAATGACCCGTAGGAAAAAAAAAATATATATATATATATATAATATATATACTCACACACAGGCAGCCACTTAGAGTCAAGTCTTAGGTCGTTTAGTTTATTGATTTGAGTTTTTAATTCGAGTTGAGATGTAATTTTATGTGAAATTTTTTTGTTGTAATAAAAAAATTAAATGTGATTATTTTTAAAAAATTTTTTACTGTAATAAAATTCGAATCGGTGAAACGAACGGAGAGATCACCTATTTTCTATTTTCTGTAAAGATTCTCAGAAGAGTACCTTACCTCTTTCTTAAGTCCTCTCCCTCGAAATATCTACCTATCTTAAGAGCGCTCCCTCGCTTTATATTATTGAAAAGGCGCATAAATTGGATTTTTTCCTCTTCTCAACATCTTAATGTTGCGCCCCTATCAATTCACATTGATAAATCAATTTAGGGAAACGAAAATTCCTATTAGATATAATACTGAGTCAACAGGAGAACTACCCCTATTCCGACTTTTAGACGATAAATCCTAAAAATTAGAATCACCCAGTCCCATACTCCCTCTTCTGCCGCCTCCCTCTCTTCTTCCACCTCTCTCTCTTCTTCTTCTCCGTCCGCCATCTCCTCCGTCCGTCGCAGTCCTCCGTCCGAAGTTCTCCTCAGTCCGTCACCGATCTCCTCCTATTCTCTTCTGTCGTTGATCTCCTCCGTCTGCCGCTCTCCTCAGTCCGCCAATCTCCTCAGAGATCCCATTAAAGCCCAGCTCAAGGTTGGAATCAGGAATCCCTTGTTTTTTTCCATTATTTTCAACTTTCGTGATCTAATATTCGCGGTTCTTTCTGGGATTAGTTCTGCTTTGATTACATGTGAACAATCTGTTGTGTTAGAGATTTCAAATTCAACTTCCGTGATCTAATATTCTCGGTTCTTCTGCGACCTAACATTTGATTTTTTTTTTTTCCGGTTTTTTGCTTGCTTTTGTATAGTTTGCTGCAGATGATTGTTACTGACATATATTTGGACTATGCATATATATGATTCTTACACAATTAAAGAAAAGAAGAACACGAGTGAGCTTACTACACAAACGTCACAACTAGAAACAAAGTCTGTGGACTAACGAGCCTCAAAAGGAAGTGAACACTTGTATATTAGCTGTGTTACAGATTATATTATTACAAGCCATTGAGCACAATTTAGAGGAAAGGCTTAACTCTTGTTTACTAAAACATCAGTAGATCATATTGCAAAAATGTTAAGCAAAAGAAAGAATTTTAAAAACTAGTTAATGAAATATTTGTCATAGTTTTTGAACACTTGTATATTAACTGTGTTACAATTATATTATTACAAGCCATTGAACACAATCTAGAGGAAAGGCATAACTCTTGTTTACTAAAACATCAGTAGATCATATTGCAAAAATGTTAGGCAAAAGATTAAATTTTAAAAACTATTTTATTTTGTTCTTTTACTGTTGTATTTCTGTTACTATTGTAGTTGTTATGTTCTTTTTTTTTCCCTTGTAAATTGAGTTTTTCCTTAAGTCTATTGTAGATGAACAACAATGATTTGGAGGCACAAAGTGAGAACATTGATTTCGATGGAGCAATAGATGTCGATATCAAACTTGAGGAGGATGTGGTTGAGCTCACAGGCATCGGTGGCCAAAAACCTCTCAAAAAGAAGAAGTTGAAATCGAAAGTTTGGAACTTTTTTGACATCCTTCCTCTTGGCCTGGACAAAAAGCTTAGGAGTGCTTGCTACTAGTAAGTATGGAAACAGGTAACATGTTGAAGCATATTAAAACTTGTCTGAGATCAGACACAAGAGATATTGGTCAAATGCTTATTTCTCGTGATAGTAGCTTATTATTTGGTTCTTGTTCCTTTGATTCTGAAAAATGGCGTGAGTTGATCACTGCTTGTATTGTTATGCATGATTTGTCTTTCCAATTTGTTGAGTACAAAGGATTAAGGGCTATGCTTCAATATCTGTATCCTGATGTGGAATTAGTGTCTAGGAACACTGCTAAAGTTGACACTATTAAGTTGTATGAAAGGGAGAAAACAAAAATAAAGAATATGTTGGATGCATGTCCTGGTAGAATAAGTTTGACATCTGATTTGTGGACTTCATTGACTACTGATGGATATTTGTGCCTGACTGCTCATTTTCTTGATAAGAATTGGAAGTTGCATAAAAGAATCTTGAATTTTTGTCTTATGCCACCTCCACACATTGGGATAGCATTATCTAAGAAAATCTTTTCTTTATTAAGTAATTGAGGAATTGAGGAAAAGATTTTCAGTATCACTTTAGATAATGCTGATTCGAATGATGTCTCTGTGGATGCATTACAAAACCAATTGAACTTGCGTGGTTTGTTGCCTTTTCATGGTGAATTCTTTCATTTGAGATGCTGTGCTCATATACTTAACCTTGTTGTGCAAGATGGTTTGAAAAGTATTGATAAGTCGGTTAAGAAGATTCAAGATAGTATTAAATATGTTAAAAGATCACAACAAAGGAAGCAAAAGGTTTTAAAATGTGTTTAAGTTGGTATCGATGGGAAGCAACAAAGGATTGTCTCAAGATGTGGTTACTAGATAGAATTTGACTTACCTTATGCTTGAAAGTGCTCTCTTTTATAGACGTGCTTTCCAACATTTGGAATTGAGTGATTCTAACTATAAGAATTGTCCCAACTCCGATGAGTGAGAAAGAGTTGAGAAAATATCCAAGTTTTTGAAAGTCTTCTATGATGCCACACTTTTGTTTTCTGGCACTCACTATCCCATAGCAAGCTTGTATTGTCCAGCAATTATGGAATGTTACATAACCCTGAAAAATGCTACCCAAGGTGGAGATGAGTACTTAAACTCCACGGCTATGCATATGTGGCCAAAATTTCAGAAATATTGGTCACAATTCAGCTCCATTTTAGGCATTGCACTTGTGTTTGATCCTCGGTATAAGATGCAGTTTATTGACCTTTGCTACAACAAAGCTTTTAGGCATAACTCTGAGGAGTTGTTTTCTTTGCGTGAGAAGTTAGAATCCCTTTTTGACGAGTATGCTTTGAAGCTTGATCATTCTACCTCACCATCCACTTCCAAGAAAAAGGACAAGAGTAAAGCACCACATAGAATAGAAGTACATGAGTCAGATTTGTTGAAGGTAATATTTACTTTTCTTATATATTTACATTATTTTACATAGAAATTAGTATATTAGTTACTAATGTTTCATATTTTTTTTCAGGAATTTGATAATGTTTCAAGTGATTTGTTTTATGCTTCAAACCAAAAATCACAGTTGAAATTGTATTTGGATGAGCCTAGAATGAAACGGGGGAATTGTATTTGGATGAGCCTAGAATGAAATGGAGTTATCAATTGGATATTCTCTATTATTGGAAGACAAATCAGTGTCGCTACCCAATTCTTGCTGCCATGGCTCGTGATATATTATGCATTCATGTATCAACAGTTGCTTCAGAGGCTGCATTTAGTGTTGGCGGTCGTGTGCTTGATCAGTTTCATAGCTCTCTTAAACATGATACTGTTGAAGCAATTGTGTGTACAAGGGATTGATTGTATGAAAATGAAGATATATTCTTCAAGTTCTTCATTGTTCTCTTAAATATTGTTATTATCAATCTTATAAATGCTAATCAATTCAACTCTTTTTCCTAGATGGATTCAAAATACTTCATCAAGATATGGATGACCTCATCAACAATGTGGTGAATCTTAACATACATGAAGAAAAAAATGTCAACCAAGCTTCTAACTCCGGATGTGCTTGAATTTGGTTTTTATTATGGTTTTGTGTCAATTTCGTGTGACATGTGATGTAGGTTGTTGAACTATGTGGTTGTTGAGACTTTGTTATGTAGGTTTCATGTGATGTTTTCTTCTGCATGCATTTAAACTTTGTTGTTGCTGAAACTTTATTTTCTAGATTTAGGTTTGGACTTTGGTGTTGGAACTTTATTATCTATGCTTGGACCTTGGTGTGAGTCTTATGAACTATGTTTTCTAGTAGGATTATGGTATTTTGGGGATTAGACTTGTTATCATATTAACTTGTTTGCCTATGGTGTGTTTTATTATTTTGGTGTTGATAATGTTTTCTTATGAATTATGAGCTATGATACTTTGTTAATTGTTATTATTTTAGACGGATTTTATCAATAAATGATATTTGTAACATGTTATAAACTTTAATATATGTACAAAATGTATTGAAATCTACAATTTCATGTTAATTTCGGTTCAACAGGTTCGTGTCGTGTCTCGGGTTCGCGAGTCAATTTCGTGTCGCGTGTCACTTTCGATTTGTGTCGTGTGAACTTGCAACCTGACCGTGTCGTGTTCGTGCCGGCTGTTCTCAATTTTTTCGTGTCGCAGGTCGTGTACGGGTGGCATTAAAAAAAATGACACGGTACAAACACGACACGAACACGAATTGACACCCTTACACTTGAATATATTAAGCAAATAGTTAATTAACCATAAAATGTTTTTTTTAAAAAGAAAAAGAAACAATAAAACGAAATCCTACCTGTTGAAACCCAAATCAACGAAAATGAAAAACATGGTATTTATTTCCTTTCTTACTTGTATCTATAATATGTACATGAGAAATTATAGAAGTGAAAAAAAAAATGAAAAATTTACAATAGGGACATAGGGTGATTATTTAACTCAACTGAACAGACAAAATAAATAAATAAATAAATAAAGGTAAAGCTATATGTATAACCATCAATACCTGTTTATGTCTCTCCATGTTATGATTTCTCTCTACAACATCTTTGCTGTGCTACATTATTGGCAAGGATTTTAGAAAGTGCATATCATATAGATAATATTCTATGCTCTTCTTTAGTGGTTATTGGTATGGATCAACCCAACATTTGTCCTCTTGTACGGCCTTCACCCATCGTTTCTTGAAGATATCCAATTCTATATACGATTGCCTCCTCACCTACACACACCAACAAACCATAAAGTCTTGTCATAACTAATTCTTGTTTAAGGGGTCCAAAAGAAGGAAAAAAAAAAGTTTGACTAGTGATTTTAACTTACAGCGGCTCTGTGGTCCTTTGGATGGGAATGGGAATGGGAATGAAGTGGTGGCTGCAAAAAAAAAAAAAGATTATTTGGGTTTTTTCGGTTTTGATTCCGTGATTTAACAAAGCATCGAAACATTGCATGCGCAGAATCAATACCGAAATTTCCATGCTTGTGATGTTCTTTCTTCCATAAATCCGGTTCTTTGCTGAAGATTTAGTCTGCATTGAAAAATACAAAAGTGCAAAACAAATAAAATGAATACTTAAGGAAATGAAGAAAGAAGCTTATGTACAAGATGAACATTGAACTAATGATTAATCTAATTCAACTGAGATGGGATAAGGTCTGCATAGATCTAGAGTAATTGACCGATTTTGAATCATGAATGCAAAGACATATTGTTAACCTCATTTCAATATGAAGAGTCTAAACTCATTCCTACCAGTAACTTTTATGATACAGTACAAAGGCATTTTTCTAACCTTATTTCCATCTCCACCTCCCAATGTAGACCGACCATGGTGAACTACATATTCAGCATCAACGACACCGACACTTTTAGTTCGATCACCCTGTCAAGATATAATTATAAAAAAAAAAAAAAAAAAAAATGAGGGTACATAGCCAAGCAAAACATTAGAGTGTAAAAGTACAGTAATCAGATGGGAAATAGAAAATATCATCAGAAACTTGCCTGTGCACAGTAACCAAGCTGCATATCTAGGCCCCATGCGTGGATCAAGTCATTCTGAATAAATAATCAAATCAAGTCAAAACTACCCACCCGAACCCCCTTGCCACTAGACCAAGCGGTCTTAGGCAACTAAACTTCATTCATTTCACTAGTGTTTAGCAAGATTGAAGTATTCCCGACATAAATTTCATAAGCCAGCCATAGTTGATGCATTTTTCTATGGACGAATTGACCCAAATCACTGTTAAATCTAGAAATGAACTCACTTGGATCATAAACCATGCGCATCGCCACGCAGCTCTTGAAAAAACTGGGGCCATCATTTCAATCCATCTGCAACAGAGATTTTAAGTTAATCCCTCAAGGGTAATACCTTCTATTAGAGTAAATACTTGATACAATGTAAGAAGCATGATACTTAATACAATGTAAGAAGCATGATCCTTTCAATTTAATTTAGAAAGGAAAAAAGAAAAGAAAAGAAAGAGTACTTTTTTCAGCTACCTAAGCAACAGAAACTTTTAAGCTATATGAAACAGAGCAGATTTATTACGATTAAGTTTTTACCCGGTGCATGGAGGAGCTTTGCTGTTCTCATCACAACCCTTCCCATGCTTGTAAGTTCTTCTGCAGAGAATATCAATGAAAAGCATGAAGAAAATTCATACCAGGGTAAGAAATTACGAATACGATTGTTAAGCATAATTAGTAATGCCTAAAGAGTATAGTGGAATAACAGCAGTATCTGCTTCTTGAATCTTGATTCGTGTAGACGAGAATCATCCGACTAAAACTTTCCAAACCAATCTTAACATCAAATCTAAGCTTGTCATGATGCTGATATGGAATTTTTCTCTTAAAAACACAAAAGTGAAATGTGAAAACCGCACGAAAATAAAATTATGACAAACCTGTGCACCGTTGATCTTCTCCCGCGTGCAGTTATTTGATGATGCAGCTCCACTGATTTGACTGGATCAAGCGCGGGCTGTGATATCTCCAGCCCTTCACTTTGAACAATGGAAATATACCTAAAATGTCAAAAAAGAGGAATCAAGTTTCAGCACTTGTCAATTAACATGTTGGAGAGATTTAACAATTATTTGGCCTCTAAATAAGGTTTAATGGGTTTCAACTAAGAGCTTTATGTCAAAAAAAGAAAGGGGTTACAGAAATTTCTATATAAGCTTCGGACAAGAGCCAAGTAAGGTGCCATATTACAGAGTTTGAAAGAGAAACATAATAATTGCCAAAGAGTCAATTCTTAATATCATTGTTCGACATTATTAAAAAAAAAAAAAAGGAGGTTAGTAACATGACATACAGTTTAGGGTCGAAACTGTCAACTCCAAGGTCCTCATCCCAAAGGAAAATGTAATCATATTCAGCAACTATATCAGGATGCAAGAAACGCTTTGCAAACCACCTAAGGCATCATGAAGAACAATATGTAGTAAAAACAAGTTCTGTAAAACTCAGCTTCTGTCACAAGTTTAAAACAAGAAGCTATAAGAATAGTAACCATTTCGTCTGATTGACCGCAGATACGTGTATGACACGGTCGCTCCATTCAAAAGTCTTCCACTTATCGACATTACCATCGTAATGGAAAAGCATTACAACAAAATTACTGGATAGAAACTGCAAGAAAGCTTTGTAAACGGAAATCATCCACATAGATTCAGAAAAGAGACTTAAGGACGCAAAGAACTATAAAATCTTCTTCATACCTTTCTGACCATTTTATTGACAAGATCTTTCTGTTTTATCCCAACCGCCACAGCGAATAAGTTAACTGAAGAGCTTTCTATTTTCTGGTTGAACAGTATAAAAGAAAATATTAACAACAAATCCACAATAATACTCAATAAGGATTCAATTATTTAAGAAATCAGTTGAAACGTTACATCATTATTTCTACGCATACCTTTGGAGAACCCCATAATGGCCGGAATTCCAAATTAGAAGTCTTGCAGACAATACCTTCAGGTAACGCCTCACTTCCAGAAGGTCTACATTGATTCTAAACAGGCAGAAAAATAAAATGTAACAGATTTCAGTGAGCTTTCAGAGGGAAAAAAGAAAAAGGAACAACGTGTAAAACTTGAATGGAAGAAAATGAACCTTGCATTTGTTTAGTTTAAAATTCTGCAGCGTATCAGTGACTCCCCAAAGTGATAACTTCTACACAATAGAACAAAAGGACATATTTAAAGTTTAAACTATTCAAATTTCAGAAATTTACCAAAAATAAATAACTCAAATAGATGGGGTTAATCAAAGGAATATAGACCCGTTCGGTTCGCTAATTCGAGTTTTCAATTAGAGTTGAGATGTGATGTTGTGTGAGAGCTTTTTACTGTAGTAAAAAAGTTATATGTGACTGTTTCTGAGAGTTTTTTACTGTAGTAAAACTCGAATTCTAAACTCGAATCAATGAAAAGAACGGAGCCGGAGTAGAAACTCTTGTGTAGAATTTAGATAATATATTTTGTATACTGAAAACAAAAAGAAACGATAAATGGTGTACCTCTTTGTAATCTGGTGCTATAAATGCACTCCCTATGAAATAAACTAGACAAAGCAAAGAAGCTGCAGGGATAAGGCTACAAAAGCAAGATCTCCTACTGTGTGAATCGACAAGTAAAGATAGCTGCAGAAAAAAAAAAAGAAAAAAAGAGAGAGAGAGAGAGAGAGAGAACTTTTCTATGAGTAACAAAACTAGAAATTATCAGAAAAAATGTAACAATTTTATTGCAACTAGGAGTACTTCTCAACGTACTGATAATCATTCAAGACTCTAAAACAAGAAAAGATCAGCTTAATCACACAATTTAATTAGTATAAAACTGAAAATCCCCCATAACCAAGCGAATAATGCTACAATAATGCTATAATCTCCAGTCAAACTCCATAGCTTCAGTAAAGAAATGGTTTCAAACTTTCAAATGTATGTATACATGTATATAATATGCGTATATAACAATTTAACTGTGTATATATCTTATATGAGTATCAATAATATGGCAAGGTTCTGAAAAACGCTCCAAACTTCAACAAATAAAATTCTAAATTGAAAATAATAATAATAATAACAGAGCAGGTACAACAATAAGAAACAAAGGGGGAAAAAGGCATTCTCTTATTATTGTTTCATAGTTAATATAACAAAACAGGATTACTATGCAAGAACTAAAATTGATGAGATAGAAAAGCCAAGATTTTTAACAGTTAAGAAGATGAAGAAAGAGAAAGAAAGTGCATACAAAATAAGAAGGCTTCATATTTCGATTAATCAAGTCAACCACTCTGTTTCTCTGCTTCTTTCCTGTTTTTAGAACCCAGAAAATGAGTTTCCCAGAAAACGGGTTTTCAGAACGAGCTTCGGAAACTGCATTTGCTGGGGTGTGAATAATACAAGAATGATCAAAGAAACGTGAAGGAGTGAAGCATAATATGATAGAGGGAAAAAGAAAGAAAAGAAAAAAAGGGAGTTATAATTTTAGAGAGAGAAAACAAGAGTCATCATATTATTGTAGAGAGAGAGAGATAGAAACTCCAAAAGGTTAATGGGGATTTTGGGTTGTTAAAGAGGCAATCCGAACAAAACGGGAATGTTTAACAGATGATGGGTTTCAGTTTCCACGACCTTATTATTATTATTCCTAAAGTAATTATTTTTCTTTATTTTATTTTATTTTTGCCTAATTAAGTTATTAAAATGGAAAGAAGAAAAGGGGTAACTCTCTGGATGAGCAAAGAATCAGACAAAAAATCTGGTAAAAGAAGCTCACTAAGATATTTTTGATTTTTTTTCCCCTTGTCACGCAACAATAGTGAAACCTGTTGTTCCCGTTTTGTGTTTCTCTAAATTTTCTTTTATTGATTTATGCTTATTTATTCACGAGTAGGCCACTTCGATTCGAACGTTATTTTGGCTCGTTTAGTTCACGTATTTAAATTTTTAATTTAAATTGATATATGACTTTATGTGAAATTTTTTTATTATAAATAAAAAAATTAAATGTGAAATTTTTTTTACTATAATTCTAAACTCAAATTAATAAAATAAACGGAGCTTTTATCCTTTCTTACAAATTAACGTTTTATTCAAGAACTAATTAGACGTATGTTGTTTTGGTCCTTTATCTTGATAAATCTATTATTCTTAATATGGACATTTTGGAACGAAAAATGAAAATATATTGGATATATATAAGATATTGGCTTTTATTTTTTGGGCATAAACAAACTCTTATAACATAAAGCTATGAAATCTAGAGTGAAATAATTATGTTATATGACCGTGTCTCCTTTTTTTTTTCTTTTTTTTTTTTATCTTCTTGATTAGCTTATCCTCTTGTCTTTTATATGATTTCAATGTCATTGCCCCCCTTTTTTTTCCTGAGTGAGACTATTCATTTGCCTATTCAACTGAAATCTAAAAAAGGACGCACAACCAATCATAAAGCTTTCGAGAGTGAAGATAAGAAAAGGATTTGGCTTGTATTCTAGTATTTGGTTTTAGTATTATCTATTTCTTCCTTAAAATAATATGTGATGGACAAACTTTCTACACCACCACTTCACTTGACCAACATTTTAAAATGCTTGACAATTGAACGTAGACTACAAACCTAACTCTTGACTGGAACAAATAATAATAATAAAAAAAAATATCTCACTTCATTGGTATTGCGAATAGAACTTGTCTTAGACTGGAACATGTAAAAAATAAAAAATAAATCTTATGTAATTATAATTTTTAAAAGATGTAATATTGTTTTGTAGATAAATTATTTATTCTCACATTTTTAGAAAACCATTGTTGCATATATTTTTTTATATCCTCTACTTACATGTTTCATGCTTTTATAAATGACTTAAGGCCTTTCCCATAATTATTATTATTATTATTATTATTTCGTTTCTAGATTTGTTGTGTTAACAATTGAAGCGTTTCTTCAATTCCACGTCTATAACTTCTTCCAGTATTTAATTCAAATCCATTTTCCACGTCACCTGTTTAATGATAAAAAATGGTTGTGGGGGACTTGTAATTGTACGTTATTGCATTTATTATCAATATATAAAGAAAACAGCTCATGCCTATGAATATTCCTCATTATTGTATCTCAGTTTTTCCATGCACGCTTGCTTTCAAGACTCAACAAAGTTTAATATATAATATGCATGGCGTGCTTTGACTATTGCGATAGAAAACAACAAATACAATGAAAAATAAAATATTAATTCATTAATTGAACAGCACTAAACAAGTTGAGATAAATATTCCCAAAGTGAAAAAATGTTGCATTTTTTTTTTCACATTTCTCTCGTGTTTTGTAATCCATATTCACTGCTCGACCATGTTACAATGATATATTAAAATATAATGGTGAATGTGTGATATATATATTCTCTCACATACAAAACTCAACGAGATAATTATAAATCCCCAAATGCCAATATTTCTAGTTCTACTCATTCAAAACAATAATAATAATATTATTATTATTAATATTGCCGCTTTTGAATTGTATTTATGTACGTACAATATCTATAGAATATATATATATATAGGCAATTCTGCCACGTCATAATGTAAGATTTTTGGCATAATTTATTTGGTCTCACCATTTAGAAATCAAATGTTTACTTTGCGGATTTGAGTTTTCAATTTGAGTTGAGATGTGACATTTTCTGAGAGTTTTTACTGTAGTAAAAAAAGTTAGATGTGACATTTTCTAAGAGTTTTTTACTATAGAAACTTAAAATTAAAAACTCAAATCGGTTAAATGAACGATGTATAATCAATTTGCAACAATCTAGGTCCATTGTCTTATTTATTACAAGTATTTCTAAGTCTTGCCGACAGAAATCATATTAATGTTGGATATTTCAAGTAATAATGTAGATCTACTCTTGCAAGCCAACTCTTTACACATCAGTCTTTTTATCTTTTATAATTTTCAGATGTCTTTGGTTGAATTAGCACTTCTAGTATGCTGAAACGGAAGAAAAAAAGAAGAACCTGAATGAGAAAGAGAAAAAGGGAAAGCAAAAAAGAAAAGGTATAAAAGGAATATATATATATATATAAAACTTAAGCAATACATTGTGATTTCTATTGTCCTTGGACAAGGCAAAACATTCTTCTTGATGAAGTCTGCGTAACATGGATTGAAGGAAGCAACAATTCAAACAAAGTATCAAGTTGTAAATAAATTAATTCATAATTAAACAAAGTAACAAATTATATATTGCAAAAAAAAAAAAAAAAAAAAAAAAAAAAAAAAACGAGAGAGAGAGAGATATACTAAAAGAGACCTACGAAGTAGCTGGATTACCCAAGTGAAAACATCGATTGAAGGAAGCAACAATTCAAAGAAAGTAACAAGTTTAGCCCCCCAAAAAAAGTAAATAAATAAATTAATAATTAAACAAAGTAACAAATTATATATTGCAAAAAAAAAAAAAGAAATGAAGAGAGAGAGAGACTAAAAGAAATCTACGAAGTAGCTGGATTACCCAAGTGAAGTACCGTCCAAGGATGCTATAAATGTTGATACTCCGGCCATTGCACCAGCGATTAAAAGTACACATATAATTGAATAAGATTAACTCCAAATATTTATCTTGGAAATCAACCACTTTTGGCCTGTAGTTATTCACTTGTATCATTTTCATATGTAAATGAATTTAAATTATTTGACAAATAGTATATTATTATCTTATAGTACTTGTGCCTTTAATTAACCCATCCATTGACTCGCAGGAAAACTTTGTATGAATTTTCTCGGTCTTCACACGAGAAGAAGTCAACTGAAACCGACAAGTTCATTTGCGAGAAAGAAAAATGAACTTCATGTCGTATTGTTTGTGTCAAGAGCGACGTCGATTATCTAAGAGAAAATCACGCCGGCAGCCCTTTATTTGAGTCAAAAATTTAAAAAAAGTAACTCGAATTATAATATTATTCAAGTTCATGTTCTTTTAAGTTTGAATTTGAGTTTGGGACTAAAATTTAAGTTCAAGTTTCTCCTTCAACTTGAGTTCAGAAATTCAAACTCAAATTAATAAACAATATTTTTTATATTCTTAAAAATGCTATAACTTTTTCGTTTTAATTCTGATTGAGATGATTTTTTTTCTATGCGTTGACAACGAAAAGACGAATAAAACCCCACTCAAATACCATATTAAAATTTTCCATCAGCATTGAGTTTTTATTAAAATACTATATAAATACAAATTCAAGTTTTGACTCATTCAAACACAAACTCAAAAAGATTCTTATCTCAAACCATAACTCAAATGTACACAACCAAACACAAACTCAAGTTACAACTTCAACTCAAGTTATAACTCAAACTCAACTCAAAATCTGTACTCTAATCACTTAACTCAAAAACGGTAAAAGAACAGCCCAAGATCTTTCGAGAAAAAAGAATTAACTTCATTAAATTTTTAGGGTAATGGAATAGTCTCTCTCAATTCTTTAGTAAGGTGGCACTGACACGTAAGAACTCCAAGAAGTCAAATTTTTATGTTAAAATTGCAAAATTTACTTTTAAAAAATATGAATTTTTACTCATTATTATTGATTAGTACTTTTTGTCAGCGCAATTATTTAATTAAATTGTTATTAATTAAGAATAAAAGGTAAAAATTATGATTTTGTATTTATTAAGGGTATTTATTAAGATTATCTAAGAGTAGTTATATTTACACCTTAAAAATTCATAGATGTCCCTACTAATTAATGTTAATCTAATAGAGATTTGAAAAATCTATCGTTTTATAGAGATAATTTCATAATATTTATTTAACCCTTTCATACCCCCGCCTACTTTTAATCTTGATTTTATTTTAAAAAATAATATAATTTATTTCAACTATTAATGTTATATTTTCTTTTTTAAAATTAATGCAATTCTTTTTATATTTATTTATCAATTGTTTTCATCTTAGAACCTCTTCCTCCTTCCTTTTTTTTAATGATGTCAATCCAATAAAATCAAAGCCTCCAAAACACAAAAACATCTAGATGCAATTTTTTTTTTTTAAACAATACAATGATGTTGATGTATATAAAGGCTCAACGACTATCTATTGTATATTCACAAAATAAGATAGATGCTCATAAAGTATTAGATAAAATGGGTAGAAGATACATTAAAAAAAAAAAAAAAAAAAAAAAACCCTCAAGGACTATCTAAATTAAAAGTTTCTTTCGTGACAACATCACTTCCTACCAACTCATGAAACACAGCTAAATAAGAATTTGCCCATCCAGATGCACAAGGATGCTAATCGACTATATAATACTTGTAGGTCTTCGTTTCTTCTTTTTTAAATTGGTTATGATTTGTGATTTAGTATAAAACAAAAGTGGGGCTATGTTTATTGCTTTGAAAAACACTTTCCTATATTATAGTTAATTTAGGTGTATATTTATTTGAAAAGATATTTATTTCTATTAATTATAAGTAATTTGGGGGTAGTTTTATTGTAGGATAAAATTATAATAAATATAAATTATGAATTGATAGGGGTATTAATGAATATAGTGGTTGCAAATATAATTATTCTTACCCAATTTTTAATCAACCTTATTTCCCAACCCAAAAATAAATACTACTTGATACTAACTAAACAAGCCGGGGTGTTTGGTAGAGGGATTCGTTCTCTGATTCGAATCATGATTCGTGATTCGCTACAGTATTTTCTCTCATAAAAAATACACGTAAATCAAAAATAGTTCGAATCACATGATTTGAATTCTCCAACCAAACGAAAATAGTCCAATACACTTAAGCCCAACATCCTAACTCTTTACGCCTTTACATTAACGGGAAAAAAAAATCAAAATACCAGTCAATATGATAAAAATATATATTATTTATGTCACATCACTTAAAATAAATAATTAACAATTAATTAATAAGAAGAAAATTAAAGAAAATAATAATATTTAATTATTTAAAATGACATAAATAATAATTTTAAAAAAATAATGACAAACTATTTACTTTTCTCTTACATTAACCATCAAAAAAGAAAAAAAAAACTAAAAATAAAAAATAAAAAAGTCAACTTCCTCTACAAGACTATATACTCCAATGGGCCCTTCAGCTTCACATTATTTCTCCTTTTTTATTTTCAACTACAAGGGAAGGGGAAGGGTTTGATTAATATAAAAACAAAAAAAAAAACAAAAAAAAACAAACAAACAAACGAAAACAACCTAGAGGACAATCTCCTAATATAAGAAGAGGTAGATAGAAAAATATAGGGAAATAGTAGGAAATAGGTTAATATGAAAAGTTTACGAAAGTATATAGGCTAACTTTTAGTTATAGAAATTAATAAGCCATAACTTTTTAAGTTATGGTTTATAACCAGATAAGTTATGGACAAACTTGTCAAGTTATGGTTCATAGCCAGACAAATTATGGATAAAAATTAGGAATAACTTGTCAAGTTATAGACGAAAACAGTAATTTGGCCTATTTATTAACTTATGTAAACTATTGGCCTATTAATTTTAATTTATCTTAAGTCTTGGTCTATTTCTCTCTTTCTCTAAAAAATATATCATTACTTAACAGTCAACAACAAACAGTCTATTGCAAACCCTAGGGGCCTTCTTTTGGCCGCCAGTTGCAGATGCTGCGGTCATACGGCTGCGGTTGTTCTTCTTCAGCACAGCCTAACGGTTGCAGCAAGTAACACCTGACGCCGACTGTGGCAAAAGCTGCCACCGACCAAAACTTCAAAAAAAAAAAAAAAATCTTCTAGCAGCCTGAGGCTGCCATTGCTTTTTTTTTTTTTTTTTTTTTTTTTTGGCTGGACCACCCAACTCACGATCAAACATCTCTTTGCTTTTTTTTTTTTTTTTAAAAAAAAAAAAATTTTTTACGGCCCGGGGCCCCCCTTTTTTTTTTTTTTTTTTTTTTTTTTATATTGTCATGGCCATCAACCATGACTGTCCATGTCGGTGCCGCCAACAAAGGTTGCCACCGACCAATTTACTTATTAGGTTGAAAATTAACTCAAATTGTCTAAAAAAATTTTAAAACTATAATATCCAATTTTGCATAAATTTCATCCGGAATCATGGAAGAAAACCACAAGAAAAATAACTAAAATTGTTCTCAAATCCAACAACACCAAACCCGAAATTGTTAAATTCGAGAACACCAAAATAATCATGGATCAAAAATAAATTCAATATGAAGAGGCTCAAATACCACTTGTTAGAAAATATCATTTGGTGAAAATGTCACCCAATAAAATTCAAAAACATTCATGTTGGATCACCAAGAATCAATAGATCAATAAGCAGAAGTGTACCTAAATCCATGACAATAAATTACTCTCTAGAGCCGTGCTGTTTGTCTTCTAGATCAACACGTTTTTTAGAGAATTCTTTAGCTTTCTCACTTCGCTATGATGAGATGTCAGAAAGAATAGAATGTCACATGTGATCTGGGGACCCTAACCACTATATATAGATAACTTCCCTGTTATCTTTTAGTATTTCTATTTTAGTACATCATAAAAATAGAAATTACCCTTAAGTCTTTATATATTAAATACCCACATCCTATAAGATATATTAAAGTATAAATTAGTCAAACCTCAACAGATCACTTTTAAATAGACTTAATCTTATATGACAGTCTATAACACATAATTATTTATATATAAGCCTAATATTAAATTAAGAATCCAGTACGATGGCCATCAGACCATACATGGCCTTCATTAAAGGCACGCCAACGACAAGAGGATTGGTCAAAGTAAACAAAGGGAAGCTCGTTATGGGCCAACAATAGCTTCCTTTGGGGCTGTACTTTGCCCAAAACGCAAGAACAATGACGATGATCACCTTCGAAATGACGTCGGCACCAATGAAGGGCAAGTTCCACAAGAAAGGATCGACATGCGCCATGAATTCGAAGGTAAAAAGTGGGAGAGTAAAGAAACAAACTAAGCGGTTTATAGCATCACATTGTTCGGGGGTGAAAATCTTCCACCATTTCACAGAGCCATAACCTAATATTAGGGCAACATAGAGGGGAAACATGGCTTCCACGACCTGGTTCTAATCTCTGTTATGAACCCCAAAAAAAATGAAAGAAAAAAACTGAGTAACTATTACAAGGATATTGTTACTTGTTAATTAGTAATATGTGTACTTCGGGTATTTATATTATTTGCATGCAAGGAGAGTACAAAGCCAAGTTTGTTCCTTTTTCTTTTATTATCTTTTTATCGTTCATGTTTTGTGTTTGGAATGGAGAAGTTTTATTTAGTGCTTATAAAGCATTTTTTTCCCCTTAATAGAATTGAAATATATTGTGTTGGTGGATGAATAGGATTCTATACTGTGGATTCTTGAAGAGTGACATAATAACGTTTTTTCTGTGAGTGCATGGAAGTGTAAAGTTGTACATAATAAGGTTTTTATGGAAAACCCCGATGTCGTTTATTTATTAGGGAAAAGAACAAGGTCCTTGTTTGTAAGTACTAATATATAAGCGCGTTTATCAAACAGTAATAATGAATGTTTCTACCAAAAAAATAAATGTTTCTACAGGAAAAAATAATAAATGCAATGTCACTCTTGTGTAACAAGAAAACGACATGTTCTTTCCTTCGGGAGGAAACGACAAACCATTTTGTAAAATAAAGCGATAAGCGAGAAAAACGACATATGTGGTTTATCTGAAATAAAGATTGTTTGTTATTTTCCTTGAATAAAAGAAATAACAGTAAAGTAACATCCAGAAAGTATTGTTGGATTTATATAAGTTTCAGCGCCCATTAACTCTCTCATTTCAAATATTGGAAAAACTAAAATTATGCAATACAAACTGCAGAATTTTATTGCTATATTTGGTACCAATTTTAAGTTCTCATTATTTTATTAATAGGTATTTAAAAAATGCCATATGATTATTATTATTATCTTTATTATTATTAATCGAATCAGCTGAGGATTGCTAGTATCTGCTTGCAACTTACTGGCATGGCTAGTTGGAGAATAAAACAAAAATATCGGTCGTCCTTCTCCTTTGTATTGAAACGTCTTTAATAATATTTAAGAATAGAAATTAGTAATAATATTCACTGTTTAGCTGGTTGGTGAATATAAAGAAAACTAATTTGACAGCAGAGGGAATCTTACAGTGATATGGGAATATCGAAGCCTAGGCCTCTTGCAGATTACTATGATCCTGTTAAAGATTACAAATGGCTCTGGCAAACTAGTATAGAGAATTTACTTAATCCAAAATTTTTTGCTGAAATTTACTTAATCCAACATAGTTTCGAGGTAAAAATATTGAAACTGAAAGAGGTGCTTTCTCTCAATTAATTATAAACATGTAAAAGGGTTAATGTATAAAATCCAATAAAATATAATAAGCGATCAACACTGGAAGTGACACCAGCATGCCAAAGATAACCCTGCCATTAAGATGAGAACAGAAAGATATCAGTATAATGTTTGTTTCCCAAAAGTATACTATAATAAAATTTAATACAATTATTGGACTTTTCTACGGTTGATAGGATGGACATATATGTATATATATATATATGTGTGTGTGTGTGTGTGTGTGTGTGGAGGTCAAATAACAGGCGTTTGTTTTATGTAATAATGATTTCTAATCAGTGACGAAGCCAAAAATATTGATAGGGGGCTAATAATTACGATAAATATTAAACTGAAAATCAATAATTATTAAATAATATGATTATTCTCAACATGATTTATGCCCTAAATGCTGCACAATAACTTTATCATTGAGGTCATTGAATATGTCTATTTCAATATATACAAGTGAATTGTCATTCATCGTTAATTTCTCATTCAATTTTTTTATTAGCAAGATAAAAAGTAGAAAAACTTAAGATAGATAACTTTAGCACATCCTAACAAAATTGGTACTTAATTTCCATTTGATTGTAGGGTTGATCATTAATAATATTTATACTAAAAATGTACTCTATCAACAATAATAACAACAACAAGTTTAACTATTAAATGACAAATGACAACAAAAGAAATTAAATGTTATAAAAATATCACAATATATTATTGTGTATTCTTTATTTTTTAGAAGAGGATTTGTACACTAGTGGGAAAAAAGAACCAAAAAATGAGAGAAAAAAACATATAAACATACATTAATAAATAATCCAAGCTATTATTAAAAAAGAAATAATCTTGTTAAGTACTTAAGGAAATTATTTAGCTCTAGCTCAAAGTAAAATTCTTCAATTTTGAGAGCAATGAAATAAAATTTTAAACTTTTCAGAGGGGCTATATATAAATTTGATATAAATAAATATATATAATTATGAGTAGGAAAAAGTTGCTCAATAATGGATATAATAACATAAAGACGAATTATTTGTAACACTTTTCAAAGTCATGTTACTTAAAATAAAAATGTCATGTTAAGTTTTAATGTATATATGTAGGACCAGTGTTACTAATACTAATATGTTTTTATATAAAGCCAGGAATTTATTTTTCCTAATCATAAAAAGGAACTCATGAGTTTGAGATTAAGCCGACTTACGCAGTGCTGAGTACTTCGGCATGCAATCCATATTCTTTAGCAAAAATGAAGGATGTGATGGACTGTGGCAAGGCAGCCTGCAACAGAATTTTTTGCGTAATTAATAACAAGATGAAGTAGAAAACTTAAAACGATCGAAATGTTTGTGTGGAACCATGACGATAAGCATTTCAAGTGTGGTTAATTTATAAATATTAAATTTAAGTCTAATTTATATATATTTGCATGTCCTAAAACAAAGTTGAAAGTCCTACTCAAAAAAAAAAAAAAAAATTTGAAGTCAAATATATATATGATCAGGATAAAACTCAAACAAAAAAGTTTTGACAAAAAAATAAATTAAACAGAAAAAAGAAGAGGCCCATATATAGAGTTGAGAGCTAGTCAGAGATGACAGAAGCATATTAGAAGCTGTTCCACTGAAACAACTAACAAGGATCCTACAAAGCTCTTCATGAACATTCCATACTTTTATTTTGTACTATAGTGTGTTTTCTTATTAAACTATGATATCTGGACTAAACAGTGGGAAACACACGAAAAATGTTGTATATGTGTGTCACGTATAGCGAGTCAATATATATTCCTATATATATTGCATCACAAATAATGGACATCAACCAAAAAGAAAACAATAAAATTTTAGTATACCTTTCGTAGCCGGCCGTACTAGCTATAATATAAGTCAGGACCACAAACTAACAAGTTTTTTTTTGCGAGTAAAGAAAAGCAAAAGAGATATGCAAGGGGTGTGTAATAACTAATAAAAAACAGAGGACTTACCTGAATGATAGCTACGCGCAGAACATCACCATGCAAACCAGCGGCTATGGCCCCAATAGCCATAGCTGCGGGTCCCGCGATAAACCTCAAAACCATCCCAAACACTGTTAGCCGCGCGCCACATGCAATCGTCTTTTCTTGCATCGCCATAAAAACACCTGCAAAATTGATTACCGAATTATTAATTAACCCTGACAAAAAAATCATATCATACTAAAGTTTTGATCGAGTTTGACCATGAAAATCTAACAACAGGGAAACATTTGATAACGACAAAAAAAAAAAAAAAAAAAAACGGAGGACGGTCTCACCCATGCTAAACATGGCAGTGCCTGTCCCAGCTTTCGACATGATCAAAATAGAACCCTCAAGTATGCTCGGCATCTCTAAATGCCACCTGCATGCATTTTTAAGAGAAAATCAAAACCTCAATTACAAAAAACGTATAGCGTTCATTTAGTTCATAGGTCTAAACAGAAATTTAAATTTTGTGATAGAAAATACTGTTTAAAAAAAAAAAGTTTCATCAGTAGTTTAAACTTATCGAATATATTTTTCAATACCTGTTGGCGATCAGAGCCCAAATGATTCCAATATAAACCGCATAAGAGTTGGGATTCATGGCAAGTTTCAGCCACACAACCTTCATCAACGACCAGAACGACGGCCTATCACTACTATTCACGACGTCTTCTTCCAAATCCTTTCCCTGATCACCATTACTTGCGTTAGAAGTAACTCCTAAACCGGTCCGTCTAAACTCCAATACGAACAAGAGAATAGTTAGCCATATGATGGCCTGAACGACCGACGACTGAACGACAAGATCGACGGCCATTGGACCGTACATGGCCTTCATCAAAGGCACGCCAACGACAAGAGAATTGGTCAAAGTACACAAAGAGAAGCTCGTTATGGACCAACAATAGCTTCCTTTGGGGCTGCACTTTGCCCAAAACGCAAGAACAATCACGATGATCACCTTCGAAATGACGTCGGCACCAATGAAGGGCAAGTTCCACAAGAAAGGATCGACATGCGCCGTGAATTCGAAGGTAAAAATTGGGAGAGTAAAGAAACAAACTAAGCGGTTTATAGCACCACATTGTTCGGGTGTGAAAATCTTCCACCATTTCACAGAGCCATAACCTAATATTAGGGCAACATAGAGGGGAAACATGGCTTCCACCACCTTGTAAGCATCTTGCCAACGTATCATATTTGGTTCTAATCTCTGTTATGAACCCCAAAAAAAAAAAATGAGAAAAAAAACTGAGCAACTATTACAAGGATATTGTTACTTGTTAATTGGTAATATGTGTACTTCGGGTATTTATATTATTTGCATGCAAGGAGAGTACAAAGCCAAGTTTGTTCCTTTTTCTTTTACTTCTCTTTTTGTCGTTTATGTTTTATGTTTTGAATGGAGGAGTTTTATTTAGTGCGTATAAAGCATATTTTTCTCTTATGATTTTATAGAATTGAAATATATTGTGTTGGTGGGATTATATGCTTCTATACTGTGGATTCTTGAAGAGTGACATAATAAGGTTTTTTCTGTGAGTGCATGGAAGTGTAAAGTTGCTTTCACCATGGGTTTGTGTAATATTATGTGTGTGTATGAATAAACAATGGTCAGCAATGATCTATAATTATATATAGAATAAGGAATGAGGTCCAGCGATTATTCCACCCATCTTTGCAAACAAGTTTTGTGATGAATTGTTATATCCTATAATAAGAACTTGTAATTATTTATCATATTCTTATCGTTACACCCTAGTGGGGGATTAGAATTTCATGTTGATTTGTGAGATTAAGAAGGGTACTGACACGTAATAATCATACATGGAAAACATTTGGAATAGAGAACAACCAGCTTATGGTAATGAAATCAATGATTTATAAAAACATTTTATCTTTCTAAAGCTATATTGAATTACGTTGAAGCTGCCATTTGCTCCTAGTAAAGGTATTAGTAAGTATATATGTATGCCCTGATCACTACTTATAATCAAATCAAATACACTCTTTTGTAATGATGAGAAATTAAAAAAGAAATAAAGGAAAAAAAAAGCATATAGAATCAGTTCCATGTTCATATAGTTCGGTTGTAGTAGTACACATATATCCTGGTCGAATGCAATTCTGTTTTTCTTGCTTTTCAAGCAAAATAATAACGAACGTTAATATCCAATGGAATGCGAAATTACTGAACGTGGAAAAAGTGATTTTTTTGAGCCAGTTGGCTGAGTTGACAGATTTCTTCTTTAAATACTTGGATGGTTTAGGACTAGCTAAAATATACTTCTTTGTGCATGCATGGTAAAGTGATCTATTAAATAACCTATGCCCACTTGAGCACTTACTAATGTCACTAAAAAGTTGGGTCTGACAACTAGTGCAATATGTAAAACATTAGTGAACATAGAATTGTTTTTTTTTTTTTTTTTTTTGAGAAAACAAAATATGTCATCATTAAAGTGGCATTATTTTATTTTTGTTACTGTTATATATTTATCTTATGTCACTAATGATCTATAGGTTATCTTTTCGTAGTGATATCAAAATTTTATATAATAATATAAATAATAAAATTAGAAAAAACAACGTTAAATTTAATTTTTTTTTTTTCAGTATTTTATGTGCATTAATTAAGTCCACAAAACAATAGTAGACAGCAGAAAACTAGGAGAAGATAGGCTCAAAATCTTTTTTGTACTTTTGCATATAATATAAAGCTATATATATATATATATATATATATATATATTCCGTCTTATGATGTATGCATGGTTGATTTTGTCAAGTGACAGTAGTACGTACTGCGTGTGGTTGTCAATTCCTGCTTACATGTTTTTTGCTTAATGCATGAGAATTATGGCATCCCGCTTTTCTTCATTACGGAAGAATTTCTTCTTGCTTGCTTTTCTTTTTCTTTCTTTAGTTTCACTTAATTCTAACCGCTCGAACAAATACTAATTGTAATGCAGAAACTAAAAGAAAGTGGCATACATATAATTGCATATGCTTTTTCACCCTGGTTGAGAAAGTTGTATACAATTTGTCTTTGTCCATGTTTAAGGGCTTCTCACAATAGAATATCGTTACTTTTAAGACAATACTACTCAATACTCTGTCTCCATTGCATTTCTTGTTTTTTCTCCTATCGAGGCATAGAGATCAAATACCATGTAGAAAAAAAGGGAAATAGCATGATCAAATTAATATTAATATCAAATTGTCCAATAAACTACTTACTTTGTTCAACCATTAATATTTCACTAAACAAAGTGTTTGACTTCCGCAAGTGAGAAGAAAGTATAATCTCATTTAGATAAAGGCTTAATTTGATATTGCTGTAGATGTTGGAAAAATTACTTTTAGATATGCTGAAAAAAAAAACAATTGTTATAAAAAATAACTAAGTGTTTGGCAAACTATAATTATAGTAGCTGTGCTGGTTCCAAAATCAGTGTAATAGCGTTTAGTAAATTATGATATTGAATTGATATGGATAGTTAAAAATTACGACTATATTATATTATATTATAATATAATATATATAATTACAATATAATATATATTTAATATTATATTTAATATAATAAAAAAACTATTATTATATAATATATTATATCATTATAATATAGAATATAATATTATTATTAAAATACTTAATATAATTATAATATTATAAAAATATTATAATATTACATAAAAAATATTAATATTTCAGTTATAATATAATTAAAAATTACAACTATATTATATTATATTATATTATATAATCATTATTATAT